TCCTGCCATTTTTTTCCTGCTTAGATTGTAATTTTAAAATCCCTTGCACTATAGATGTACATTCACAGTCAGAGATGCCTTCACCCTTAATTTGAACTTGAACTTGGCTTGAATTTCTCCACTGAAATCTTAGAATCATCTCGCTTTGGGCAGCCCAACAGGTTAGTGATAACATCACTTGTAAGCACTGAATTAAAATGTATTAAAAGGCATTTTCATTAAGTGTGATAAAATCACTTAAACTTAAGTCTATAAAAGCCCAGAAGCAAAATTCTCCGTATCACGTGCAGGTCTCCAAATGAGCATGATCTCATAACAGGAGTCAGTTCCCGGCCCAATGTGAGGAATAAATAAGTATTTCCTTTAGTATAGATAAATATGCCGACAGTGGCAGGCAGTCTACGTCCTCGATCCCCTTTCTCCACTCTCTTCCTCAACAGTCACCCCGGTTGAAAATATCTGTGAGGATGAAGTCTGTCCCAACCCTATCACCTAAAAGTTCAGATTCCCTAGGTGTCCAGGTCAATTCTGTCCAAGATTGTCTCTTTATCAGAAAGCTAAAGCTCACCCATGGTTAGAGTCTGGGATTGGTCTTGCTTCTCTAAACCCAGTAGAGTATTTCATAGTGCTAGGCATTCACATCCACTGTTATTAAAGGCCTAAGAACTAGAAGCTGTTTTAAAATGTCAATTTTTGTCACCATCTCTCTTCCATAGGACTCTGCCTAGGGCTTGTAAATCTCCTTTCCCAGGGCCTGGACACTATTATTCCAAAGTGTCTCTCAGATTCTGAAAATTGTTGCAATCTATAAGGCTGCTGTTGCATTTAACTGCATGTGGTCCTTGATGCTGATCAGACAAAGCCTGAGTTTGCTATAGTCCTTTGGGCACTGTGGGCTGCAGACTATTCTTAGGGTTTCATCCGGAGAACCAAGTTAACCCCTGTGGTGGATCTTACACCATTCTGGCTTCTTCCATTTCTCTGTTGCTGAAATCTGGTCTAGGCTGCAGCTCTTTTCTTTCTCCCTCTTTCCCTCCCTTTCTTTATCCCTCTTTCTTCCTTCTGTCTCGGAAATATTTGTAGGACTCCTGTTTGGGGGACTATGGAAGGTACAGCTGCACTTAAGGAATGCTGTAGGATTCTCTGTCCAGGAGCCCAATAATTTGCTTCAGGAATGAATGCTTTGCTGGTGAGGTCCACTTGGACTGTTGTTGGCTGCTAGCATGGCCACTCTGCTAACACGGCTTCTCTTTCTGAATGTCTAGATCTCTGCCCATCCAGGGCAGAGTTTTCTTCTCACTGGCATCTACCCTCAGCCACTCAGGGCATCTAGATATCAGCAGGGAAAACCCAGACTTCACTTCTTCACTCCATCACTTTTATGTGCAAAGCACAGATTTCCTCTTTACAGGTAGAGCTGCTACAGGCTTAAATTACTTAAACTGCTTAAATAGTTAAGGTACCTAATCAGGGATTCTCTCCTTTTATCATTTTTCATCTACTAACAGCTCAATTCACAGCCTAAAATCTCATCCTTACCCTGTCTTTCTCTTTTAAAAAAAAGTTTGGTTTATTTTAATTAAAAAGGTAATATTTGTTCATTGTGGTGAAATCAGAAAATAAAAAAATTAATAATCATCATGAATAACCTCTACTAACATTTTACTATATTTTCTTTCAGTTTTTTTAAATGAATTTTAACATAAACACACACACCCCCCCAACACATATGCACATGTATAAAATAGCTTAAATGTATGGAGCAACTATTATGAGCTAGAATTTCTTTTAAGTGTTTTATATGCATTTGGTCCTCACAACAACCACACGAGATTATGTGGAGAGAACTGTTGTTTCTGTTTTTGTCTTCAGGCTTCCACCTTCCATCTACATGGGGCAACTGCCCTGGGGTTTCAGCTTGGGTCTCCAGTCCTGGTGGGGGAGCCAGTCTAGTCCTCTAGCCTCTTCTGGCAAAGGGTTGGACTCATTCCAAGGCAGACCAATCAGATGCCCTCCCTGGCACTCGGATCTTGAAGAGAATGACTCAGGAAAACTCACAACCATTTTACTGTATTCGTCTATACAGTAAACGACACATGGAGAATGAAAAGACTTCCCATAGTCTTTGCTCCCTAGATCTGATGAGCTGCTCGGGGACCTGCCCATTCCCGTGCTGAGTTCTTCAGATTTTCCTCTGAATATTTGAGCTTTCCCACACATTCACGCCATTGCTTTTTTTTAATAAAGTTACCCAGGTTTGATTTCTCCCACCTACCATGAAAAATTCCCTAGCCAATATGGAGAAACACAGAAATAAATAAGTATTATTCCAGTTTACAGAGACTGAAACTGAGGCTTACTGAAATTAAGTGACTTGCCCAGTATCATCCAGTTAATAAGAAGTCATATCAGGTCTCTTTAACACGAAAGTTTGTGTTTAATTTTAACCACCTCTCTTCTCAATCTTCTCTCCGTACAGATACATAGCAGTGTGTGTGTGTGTATTCTTATATGCATTCTTCCACAGTTGAGATATGACCATATTAAAAATTGTAATCATTCTTTCAGTTCTTCATCTGATAATAAAATCACTGCAGAAAATTTCAAAATTACTGTAAAGTATAAAGAAGGCAAAACTTACTCACAAAAACTTACCTGTTATTCCAATACCTAGATATCATCATTATTACTATTAACGTTTTGGTTTATTTCCTTTAGTCTCTCTTCTCTTTCTCTCTCTTGGTGTGTATATATACATACACACGCAAACACACACACACGGGGATCCAGAAATAAATAAAGAAAAGATAGATGAATAGAGAGAGACAGAAAAAGAGAGATATTCATACTCTATGTACAGATTTGTATCATCACTTTTTTCTTTTAACATTATTTTGTAAGCACTTTCCTGAGTAATTAAACTTCTTTCAAAATAATAGCTACAATATATCCTATTGTATGGAATACCATAATGTATTTAAGCATTCCTCTTTCAGACATTGCTTATGTCAAAAGGTTGTTTCTTTTATTTTGCTTTGATAAATAGCACTGCAATCAACAACTTTCTTGGTATCTGATTATTTTCTTAGAATGGATTCTGAAAGTGAAATTAATGGCTTAAAGACTTTGAGTATTTTGAAGATTCTTGATATTTACTGTCAAAAACTTTTCAGGAAGATTGCGCCAATTTACAATCCCACGGCTACTGTTTAAAAGATAGTTTTATTCAACTTTCCAAATATGGATGCCGATTTTTAGAAATGAATGCCAATAGCTGGAAAAATGATAGCCTACGTTGTATTAGGCATTTCTTTCTGATTATAAAGTAATACAAGCTAATTGCAGAAAGATAGAAAAATATAAAAGATTACAGAAAATAATCACATTGCCCATATATAAAAATGACACAGCAGTTTGATGAACATTCCTTTGCCTTCTTTCTGTGAACATATTAAATAAATAAATAATATTGACAATGTGGAAATCACATGGCTCATACTGTTATATCTAAATTTTTAATTTAATGTTACATATCATGAAATTTTTATCAAATATTCTCCAAAGCATTATTTTTGTTAGTTGCCAAATATTCTCTTATGAATCTGCTATAAGGTAGATAAACTTTCTTGCTTATTAGACATGTATAGATCAGTATACATAGAATTGCAATACATATCATTGTTCATAATATTTGGCTGTATTTCTGATGATTTCAATAGAATTTATGACCAGGAGTGGAATTATGGAACCATGGGTTTAAATAGTACGGACATTTTAAAGTTTCTTGATAAATATTCATTTTAAAAGTTCAAAAAATTATTCCAAAATGCTTGTTCCAGTCGTGTATGGAAGTGCACTTCACTCTTCTTGACAATAATTTTGTTGTTTTATTTCAATGATTCATGTTTTGCCTTTTTCTAACTTTTTTGTATTTGTTTGAAATATTTGCATTTCTTTTCCTCTGAATTCACTGATCATGTCCTTCACATATTTTTCCATCAGATCTAATATTGTGAAGAGAATGGGGCATCCCCCCCAAGAACTTACTTGTGCTTGTACAGAGCCCAGAGGGATAACTGGATTGCTTCCTAGTTAATCTTCTTAAATGTTGTGCGTCAATCGCCTGTGGTTCTTAGTGATGTGTTCTCTTACGTTTCTAAGCATATATGACTGTAGTAACTCATATTTGTAAAGGAATTTTCAATTCACAAAACTCTTCCGCATGCATCATCATTTTTGCCCCTGTGAAGTATGCAGGGCATGTCAGCGCCATTAGCATTATTTTAGGAACGTGGAGGTTGGGTTCCACAGGAGAAAGCTGCACAGACAGTAGCGAGTAAAGTCAAGACTCAGAGTAGGTCTTTAATTCCTAAATCTTTTACTTTTCATTAAGTCATATTACCAACGTTGCTAGTGTCCAGAAATATAAAATGACTCCACGTGGACTAAGAAAGTTCTGAAATAACGTTAAGGGACTCGGTAGCAAATGCATGTACTGTATTTTTAGAATGAGACTGATTTACGTTTGGGGGCTTTTAATTGCAGTCATCCATCAGTTTTAAACTTTCAATGTCTAAATATAAAGATTCGGCAATGTAAATGAGCCAGCTGCATTTTTACACAGAGTATGAATTGATGAGTTTATGAATGAGTGAAGTAATGGAAATAACAGCAAGTGTAAGATTATTCTCGCCCATTTTAATAGCCTAAGCCATATGTCAGTACCTTGGAGAGCTTCCAATTTTACGCCAACGCTCCCCTACGTTCTCAGAAAAGACAGGTTTTCAATCGCCAAAGGAAAATAGGAAGCATTGTACATTGATATGTTCCACGATTTTTTGAAACCTAAAAGCTTATTTCATTTTTCATTTTCCTACCTGAAAATGGACTTCCTTTTTGCCCCATTTAAAATAAAACCGCCCATGGTTTGTGATCTTGTGAAACTTTATTTAAGCATCTTTATGGTATTTTTTTCCTATAGGAAACATTTCTTTGCCACATCTGCAAACCAAAATATGCTTTTCCAAGGAGCTTCTAAGAGAAAATCAGCTCTCCCTATTTCGAGTGGTTTTTGTTCATGGGTAAGACCTATTTCTGAAGACATCATGGAAGCAGAGTGTGGGTCTCCACAGGTGTAGCCACGAGCTGCCCCACCGCAGAAGGGAGGCCCCTCCACGCCCTGCCGCGCACGCGCACGCGCTCCCCGCCCCCACCTGACCGCACCTGCCAGGTCACAAACCCCTTTCCACCGGCTCGCGCTCCCTCCCGGAGGCTCAGTCTTGTCTCCTGTTGATTGGTCGGAGCCCAAGAGGGCGCGTCCAATCAGCAATCCCTCCTGCGCAACCTACGCCCGCTCTTCCCGCCCCTCTGGGGCCCGACCTTCTTTGTGACTGGTGCGCGCGCAGGCCACTCAGCGCGGCGGGAGAGGTGTGCAGGGGCGGGGCTCAGGTGCGGCGGCGCGGCGGCGGGGCCGCGAGGCGGGCGGCGAGGAGGGGCGCACCGGCGACGGCGGCCGAGGCCTGGCGCGGAGCGGCGCGAGGCGGCCCCCGAGCTTTCCCGCGGCGAGCAGGTGGTCCACGCCGCGCCGCAGCAGCGCGGCGGGGAGGGCGGCGCGGGGGACGGCGGCCCGGCCATGGAAGAGACGCGGCCGCCGCCGCAGGCCGCGCTGTCGCTGTGCGACAGCCTCGTCATCTGGGTGAGTACGAGGCGAGGCGAGGCGCGGGGCCAGGCGAGTCGGCCGGCCGCCCGTCTGTCCCCAGGTGAGCCCGAGGAGCGGCCGGGCCGCGCGCCCCCGCGCCTGCCGTCGCCTTCGAGGCGGGAGTGCACCTGCGGGTCGCGCGGCAGGGGCGTGCGCGGGTGCGCGGGGTGGAGGAGCTCCAGGGGGCGGGGGAGGGAGGCTCGTCTTCCCGCGATCGTGCTCCTAACGGCTGGGGCTGGAGCCGAGCCCCCGTCCCCTTTCCTGCCCCCTGGCCCGTTTTCTCCCTGCCCCGCGCCCAAGCCTGGATCGCCGACCCTCTCGCCTTGTGTCTGCTGAACGGCCTGCCCAGGGGACCTTTGTGCCACTTGGGAGTGAAGACCCCCTCCGAAATCGCCCTCCCACCCCAACCACCTTGCTCTACTTGGACACAGGTGGCGAAGAGCTGGTTTTAGTTCCTGGATCAGTGGTTCTCCAGGACCCTAGGACATCTGAATTTGGAGATGCCTCTTAGCAGATATGTTTCCACGTATTTCCTGCGTGGAGAAAAAGATTTGTTGGGAATGGGGCTCATAGTCCCTTTTTCTCGCTGGTCCCCCTCCCCGTCCAACGAAGAAACATTTTTGTTCAAGAAAAAGACTTGGTATTTTCGTTAGCGCTTTATCCGTGTTTACTATTTTTGTTAATTTGTGTTGGGTTTGGACAGGAAGTCAGTCCCCAGTATTCCCGTCAGCAAAATGTCGTCTCACCTCTTGGAGGTGCTCAGCGACCAGGGAGCTGGCACTCAGGTGTGGTTTCTGAACCATGATGGGCAAGGTTGGTGCTCAGTGGCCCGCACAGTGCTGTTGAGGGTGCCCATCTGCGAACCACTTGTTTAGTTGCATGTAGGAGTGTGCGCAGAATGGAATGTAAACAGACTGGTCAGCGGCGGTAATCGGTTGATAAGATTTCCCAGTGATCTCCTACCATGTGTAATTCAGAAGGATGAGAAATCAGGGGAGGCTCTGTCAGTGTACGAAGTCTGTTGGAAATAACCGTAATTTAAAGCAGCTTTCACACTTCGGAGGAAAATAGCTTTTGCTTTAAGTGGAATGCAAGTATCTAGGGTTTCTGAGTGAAAAGCAATTACAGGTCACCTGTACGTTCATTTAAAATAAGTGTTAGGGGTTAGATGCTGTGTTTAAGACTGTCAGGAAACGAGGCAACATTATTTTTAATGTGTTAAAACAATTGACGAATTAAATGGTACACCCTAGTCTGTTGCTCTGTTGCTCTGACTTCATAGTAAACTTGGTCTTCGTGGTGACTTATGTATGAGGTGGTGGAGAAACAGAGGATGTTCTTGGATTGTATTAGTACAATGTTTTAAAATGTTGTGTGATTATGTCTGTTCTTTTAACCAGTATTGATTGAATTCCTGCTTTGTAGAAGGCACTGAGAAAGACAGATATCCAGAATAATCAAGGAACTTTTAATTTGAGTTGGAGTTACAATGGAAGGCAAAATTCCTTAAAAACTGCAAAAATGTTATAAACCAAATCATGAGGAATCATAGATGACAGCGTAGCATTGGTTTTTACTTCTCCATTTCTCTGCCAGGTTGCTGAAAACACTGGAGAAAATGAAATTCTTGTGTTGCCTCTACCACTGCTGCGACAGCGGCATTCCCTTGTTCCCATGACGCTGCCCAGCTTTGTGACTAAGAGTAACCACAGTTCCTCACGCATGTCTCCCTGCAAGCCTTTCTTACTACCCTCTTCCAGCCCCAAACTCTTCTCCCCCTCAGGAAAATGGCCTCCCCCTTGTCTTTGGCTCTGGCTCTAGATCCCATCCCTTCTGCATTTTTCTGTCATTTATCCTCTCTCTGTATTTACTTCTTCCTCTCAGTTGGCTCCTTCCCCTCTACATGTAAATCTGCTCAGATCTTCCCCAGCTTAAATGAAAGAACAGAGCCAGGACTCCTTATTAAACCACACTGCATTTCTCCTTCCCAGTCAGATTTCTTGAGGGTCTTTTATACTCACCCTTCATAGTTCCTGAAGCTTCATTCACCCCTCAACCCACTGCACTTGAGCTGCTTTTCTCTAAGGCCTTCACTTACTTACTGGATTTGGTAAACTGAGAACTGTTACATTATCCTTGTCTTACTCGTTGGTTCCTTTCTGAAATTATCTTCTGCCTTAGTTTCCTGAGGGCTTGTCTCTTGGCTTTCCTTTACCTCTGGATGATTCCCTGGACTTTGCTGTCTTCTTTTGCCTTTGCCAGCCACTGCTGTGTTGATGTTGCCCCACCCCCCCGACTTTCTCCAGACTCCCCTCATGCCACCGTGCTCACCATGCTGCACCCACTTTCTGTGTCTTGAGTAAGTTAAGCTTTTTATATATACATACACACCAGAGCTTTTATATTTCTCTTCCGTCTACCTCGAATATTCTTCTTCTAGTTCTTCCAGTGACTAGCTTCTTCTCACCATTCAGTTCTTGGGTCTGTTGTCATCTTTTAGAGAGACACTGTGACAGTGAGTGGCCTACCTGTCCCCCACTCCTGTCCCATTGTAACCTGTTAGCCCTTTCTGTTGGGTCTGTAACACTTAACACTTTCTAAAGTCATTCCGTTTGCTCCTTGGCGTCAGAACCCTTGTCTGACCTGTTTACTACTCTCTTCTCGGGAACAAGCCTGGCTAGGGTCTCCAATACAACCTGAATCAAAGTGGTGATAGTAAATATCCTTGTCTTGATCCTGACCTCAGAGACCAGTATTTCACCATTCAGTATGTAGGTTGTTGTAGATACCTGGAGTGAATTTTTAACTATATCGTAGAGGATTGATGAATTTCAGCAAATAGAAATCAAGAGAAGTGAGTTTTCCAGACACAGGGAAGAATCCCTAACATTAATGTAAACGGTCTCCTTGGGCAGTAGATTGAAAGGAGATAGTGGGAGACTCGTTTGTCATGATATCCCCCGTCTCTTAATGTGCTCCCTGCCATGCTAAGTAATGTGACGTGTTGAGGGGAAGTAGTAGGACAGATAAGATTTAAAAGTTATGATGGTGCCAAAGTATGGAGGTGAGAAGTCATGAGAAAAAGTTGGTTAGGTGAAGAGCTGCCCTTTTGGCAGTCTTTAAAAGGTTATATTTTATGATTTGGAACTCATCTTAAAATAATTTTTAGAAATGTTGTACTGCTACTTAGCAAAAAATTTAGGGCTGAGGGATAAAATTGGGCATCCGTGGTGGAGGGAGTATGAGAGTTTGAAGTATTTGCCATGAAGATAAATGTAACTCTTCTTCTTGGCTCTGTGACATTTGGAGGAAATGGAAAATCTTTGGACTTTACTTTCACCAATAAAATCAGAGATTGGACAAGATTGTTTTTAATGGTTCCTTTGTTTCTTGCATTCTTTGACTTTGGCACACAGGTGAAGAAAGACTAATACCAAATATATGCCCAAATTAACAAGAAACATTAAAGGCTGAATCATTCTTATGAAGATCTTAAAACAGTGATCTTTGTGAAATGAGCAGCTCGAGGAGGAGAGTATGAGAAGAGCGTTGACCCAAGCTTGAGGTTTTCTTGGCTCTCAGTTGTGAAAAACCCCTTTTCTTCCTTGATTTCTGTGACATTTATATTGAAGCAGTTCAGAAACAGCATTTCCACATTTCTGGTTGTTCACGGTATTTAAAAATAAAGAAGAAAATAAGATGGTTATTTGCCAGAACACTGTGTTTAGTGATGGAAGCCCTGTCTGTTCTTGTTGGGTTGCCTGCTGAAAAGTTTGTGCCTCTTCATGTCTGTGAAGAGTAGTGTGGAAGAATACATTTCCTTTTGTCCCTCTGCTTTGGCTTCACTCCTCCCATTGAGCTTTTTAAATACTCACTCTTGATTATAAAGCCTTTCAGTTTAGCCAAATGAAATTATATTCTCTGTTACGTAATTTGTTTTGCAACTAGTTTGAGAACTTCCAAAGACACTCCAATTTCCATGGCTGTGAGAAGGAGAAACTGGTCTTAATCTGGGCATGGTGGGCAACCAGGCAGCTACTTAATATATATATATATATATATATATACTCCTTTTACATATTTATTTACTATTTTGCCTAATATTATATGCTCTGAAATTGTCCTTTTTAAATCACTAATCATACCCAGTTTGTAAAAAGTTGATGTAAAGTGTAAGTAGGAAGGGTTGAGAAGTGGAAGCCACAGTTTAACTGAAACTATATGATTATCTTCCTTTTTTTTGTTTATTGAGGTTATGATAGTTTACGACATTGTGAAATTTCAGTTGTGCATTGTTGTTTGTCAGTCATCTTATAGGTGCACCCCTTCACCTTCAGTGCCCACCCCCCGCCCCCCTTCCCCCTTGGAACCACTAATCTGTTCTGTTTACCCATTCGTTTGTTGTCTTCCACATAGGAGTGGAATCATATAGCATTTGTCTTTCTCTATCTGGCTTATTTCACTTAACATAATACCCTCAAGGTCCATCCATGTTGTGAATGGGACACTTTCATCATTTTTTATGGCTGAGTAGTATTCCATTGTATATATATACCATATCTTCTTTATCAGTCTGTGGGCACTTAGGTTGCTTCCACGTCTTGGCTATTGTGAATGATGCTGCCATCAACATAGGGGTGCATAAGTCTCTTTGAATTGCTGATTTCAAGTTCTTTGGATAGTGATTATCTTCCTTTTAAAGATGCCCCAAACTGTGGGGTTTCTCTTCCCTGTACATCAACCCACTTGCAAAATCCTTCCTATTTTATTTTAAATATTCCATGAGGTTACTCTGTCCTCTCAGTCAGCATTACCCTAATTGTCTGTAAGCTATCTGTTTATGAGTGAGACCATTATTAACAAGCCTTCTAACTGACTCAGGCCTAAAGCCTCTCTCTGCTGCTCCCTGCGTCCCTGTCGCTGCCGTCCAAAGCACACTAAAGTGCCACTCTCTGCCTTGCTGTTCTGCGGTGCTTCTTCCTCACCCAGAGCACTAGTCTAAAGAACTGATGTGCATAAGAATCCCTTAGGGGTGTTCTGATTTAATGTGTTTGGAGATCCTGATACATGTTCTTAGGCCCCACACTTTGAGAAACCCTGACTCATAGCTAATGTGCTAACAGCTATTGAGCTTGTACCCGACACCAGGCACTGATCTAAGTACACTATGTTTGCTAATTCGTTTAATTCTCAAACCATCTTGTGATGTAGAAACTATTCTGCTGTTTCCCATAATACAGATGATACTGTTAAGGGTAAGTCCAAGCTTCTTGCCGTGGCCTTCCAGAGTGCTGACCCTGCCTTTGTTTTTAACCCCCTTGGTCATCAGGCCTTCCCTGTCCATCCTTGCGCTGGGAATCCAGTAATACTGAGCTGCACGTTGTCTGAAATACCATCTCTTTTCATGTATTTGTGCTTGTATCATGTTCCTATTTCCTGAAGCTTCTTTCTCATGGCCTTTTCTTTACTCAAGATCTTCCATTCAGAAATCATCTCTGTGGGGCTGGCCCTGTGGCCAAGTGGTTAAGTTCGCGCGCTCTGCTTCAGCGGCCCAGGGTTCCGCCAGTTCGAATCTTGAGCGCAGACGTGGCACCGCTCATCAAGCCATGGTGAGGTGGCGTCCCACATGCCACAACTAGAAGGACCCACAACTAAAAATACACAGCTCTTTACCCAGGGGGCTTTGGGAGAAAAAGGAAGAAGAAAATCTTAAAAAAAAAAGAGAGAGATCATCTCTAAGTCTTTCCTAAGTACAGTCCCCAGTTAGACTAGTTGACTCTTGTATATTTCAGAATATTTTGTGCCTACTGCAGTCATGAGACTAGAAATGGAATTCTCTAGAAATGATTTGTGTCTTTTTCTCTTCTTCTTAACTCTTGATTGAAGCTACTTGAAGGTAGAAACCTGGTGGTTTTCCTTTGTAGCTCCATCCTGTGCTGCACTGCTCCACGTAGAGTAGGGGTGTGGGAAGGTATCTTTGTGCACTTTGAAAGTAACTGAAGCTAGATTTAGTTTCTCCAGTCTCCAAAAGGTCATTCCTCCATTCTGTATTAGGATAATGGAGACAGATTTGTAGAATCTCGTAATACACAGAACCACTAAAGGTGAATTATGGTGGCAGAGAATTTTATTCGATTAAGATAGTTAAGTGGTAAACTAAGGAATTATAATTGAATATTAAAGGAGATGAATATGTGTAGGAAAAAAGGATCGTAGTTTATTTAATTTAGATACGGGTTGAGCTTAGATTTCTAGAAAGTATATGATCCATGTTACTTCTTTTGTACTTTGCTTTTTAAAAATTCTTCTGTCTTATATTTGATTATTAGAAAAAGATGCCACCATTACACTTCTCTTTTTAATATATACATGAATATTTAACAAATAAAGATTTTAAAAGTTAGTAATACCTAAAGCCAAACTAGACAGAAACAGCTTGACAGGGTGGTTGGGCGCTGGCCCGTTCATGCCCTAAGGCTAGGTGTTGGGCAGCAGGCAGAGGTCCTGCTGTCTTTTAGAGCTCCTTGACACCTAGTGTTAAGACTTGAACTGCTAGCCTGTGTTTTCCTACCGAATCATGTGAGTGAAATTTTAACTTGCAAATGTTATCTTAAAGTTCTTTTTCTGATGTTATTCTAACAATAGACAAAAGACAGACTATTGCTATCTTAAGAGTTCTACATGTGGCTTTCAGAAATTCTGAAGTACTTCATACATGACATCAATATATTTGACTTTTTAGGTAAAATTTTTCATGATTTTATGAAATGTTAAGTGTTTATTTTTATAAAAATATTATGCAGCCATAGAAACTTATTGGTACAGTTTCATTTCTTTGGCAAGGTCTGAATTTAAACAAAACAGGACAATTTTTAGCTATTTTTCTCTTTAATATTCAAGCATATATGTATATTTTGCAGGAAGGTAATGCTACCCTCTAGGTATAAAGAGGTGGTAAAGTAATTTGCTTTATGTCGTTTTAGCTGCAGACTTTCAATACTGCTGCCCCTTGTCAAGATGTCAAACAGCTGACTAATGGAGTTGCCATGGCACAAGTTCTTCATCAAATGTAAGTTGTGGTCCAGACTCTTCCTGAGTAAATTGTAAACCCAATACTGAGAAAGAAAATTTAGACTTGTATTCTAAAGGCTACTGAAACTTTATTCTATTCAGTGATGACAAGCATATGGTACCAAGGCGTTCTTGCAGCTAGGGAACTAAAAATAAGAAGTTCATCATCTGATTATTTCTTGCTGTTTATAGAGATACGTCTTAATTAAATGAGCAGTCAGGATTCTTATCTATTCAAGAGATGTTAATTTTGAACTTGTTCTGGTCATATTCACAAGTTATAGTAACTGGGAAAGAAACAGGTTAAATGAATTTTACAGTTGCTCATAATGTCTCCGTCAGTTATGCTGTTGTCATTTTAAGGTATCAGTACACGGAGGTGATTATTTTAGAGATAATTGAAACATACTGGATTTGGAAAAAACATTAAATTTTAAAATCTGTATTTGAATTAATAGTAATTGTATGAATCTAACAATAATGAAATGATGTATAAATGAAATTTGAAGTCAGAAATGCTGGGGAACCTTAACTAAAGTGATTCTTTTTGGGTTAGGCCTTTTTAATATAAGTTATATAATATCAAGAGTTCCTAAATCCATTATTTCCTAATTTTTGCCACACATGGTGCAAGCATTAGGATTATAATGTCTACAATATGAGCTGTACCCTTAGTAGGACAAACAGGGCCAATTCTGTAGTCATAATTTATTAATTAATAGTCATTGACTTTGTATTATCTTACTTTCATGATAATATAATCTTCAATGAGACCAGAATCCTCTGTCTGCTACGTTGTTTCATAGTCAGAGACAGTTTATTTAATTGTTGCCGTCGTTTTGTAAAGCTTTCTTGTGATTGACATTGAGAACTCTGTAGATGGTTAGCAAAAATTCTTTACCACTCTTAGAAAAACACCTTAAAGCAATATCAAAATCCTAATTACTTGGAATCTTTAAAATGATCTAATTTGAATAGATGTTTTATGGTTAACTCAAGATTAACACTTTACGAGACAAACCTAACATGTTAACATTTTTGGGGGGCAGCTATTCTAAAATATGCCTTCCTCCCCTGTTTTCTTAAAAATGTTTCTTAAATATTTTATTTATGTATACCCTGATTGGTTTCAAACTGATTTAATTGGTCAGAGCCACGTATTCTGAACATGGTCCGTTCCTGGTGATTTGGGGAAGCCATGGTTGTTTCTTGTTCTTAGAATGTACGCTTTGCCTGCTGTCACTGTGGTGTGTTGTGGGTACTGGTGTAGATGCAGCTACACTGTGGTTGGTATAGATGTCAGGCTGGTGTGTGTTCACTCACTTCAACAGTGCCATCCTAGGATGTCATTTATATGCATTGCGGTGGCTTTAGTAGTTTTGTACCACAATACAAGAGACCTGTTTTTATTATGATACAGCGCATATGGCTCTTTGCCCTCCTATAAACTAGCACCATGCCTGATGTTTAGAGTCGGGTCAGGTCAATTTTAGTTAAACTGTATCCCTTACCACCATCTTATTTTTCCATAAGCTGTTGGATTCTCCCGTTACTGCTTATGCTCTCTGTCTCTGATTTTCTTTTTAGTCTCTCTTTTGGATCTTACTGTCTTCTGATAGTTTTTCTGCAGGAATAATAAAATAGCCAACCAATCAGAAAGCTCTCTTTCTTCATAAAACAAATGACAGTGACCTAAAATTGAGCCTAAACCTCTTTTTTGTTTTGTTTGCCTGTTTTTGCATGTACTTAGATGTCCAAACCTCCTTATCATTTAAGGGCCATTTGAAATTTTTTCTTTTTGAACTGCTTCCAGTCTTGCAGCTTTTCAGAAGTCTGGATCCAGATGGTGGCACCTGTAGCATACGTTTGTCCACCACTTGGGTCACCGTATCATATTCCTGCTAAAAGGGCAGACTTTACCATGTTTCTTTGAACAATTCTAAGCACTTTATATATATATATGTTTCAATTTACTGTGTATTACACTTATGGCTATTGTGACTCACATCAAATCACATCAAAGTTGTTAAGGTGAGACGGGAAACTTTGCTTTTTAAGGAATTGGCAAAGTTTAACAAATAATTCTTTCATTATTTACCTGAGGCAGGTATGCTTGTAAATAATGAAATCTTAATAATCAGTGCCCAAACTATCTGACTTAGACACGGGGAGTCATGGAGTTATTGCTGGGGTTCTACAATTCCTTAATTAGCTTATAGTCTCAATACATAGTATGTATGTCTCCTTTAAAAATGTATGTAGAAACTGCTGTTATTTAAAAAACACATGGGGAAAAACTATAGCTACAACTGTATTAGTTTCCTGGGGTTGCCATAACAAAGTGCTACAGACGGGGTGCTTAAAACAACAAAAATGTGTTCTCTCCCGATTCTGGAGGTTAGAGGTCCTAAATCAAGGTGTTGCCTGGCTGTGCTCCCTGCAGAGCCCTTAGGGCAGGGTCCATCCCTGCTCCTTCCAGCTTCTGCCAGCCCAGGCCTCTCTCGGTTTGTGGCAGTGTAACTCCAGTCTGTGTCTCCGTGTTCATGTGGCTGTCTTCCCTCTGTGTATCTCTGTGTCTCCTCTCCTCTCAGAAGGACACCAGTCATGTTGGATTAAGCCAATCCTAATTTAGGATGACCTCATCTTACTTAATTACATCTGCAAAGACCCTATTTCTAAAAAGGTCACATTCATGGGTACCAGGGGTTAGGCTTGAACATATCTTTTCAGGGAACATAATTCAACCCACAACAATTATAAATAGTGTTGTCACTTCCCCCAAAAGAAATGCTTAGCTCTGTCCCTTTAAGCATCAGAGAACTTACTCTGCTTTTTTATTGTCTTTGACTAGACATTTTCACAAGAGGGAAAAGAATGAGACAGAGAATATAGAATATTCAGAGACCTCAAGTATCGTGCACTTATTTGTTCATTCATTCAGCAGATATTTGAGGATTTAAAATGGTAAATCACAATAGCCAACATCTGAGTATTTACTGCATATAAGACGTTGTTGTTGACCTTATCCATGTGATTTCATTTAATTTTTGCTGCTCTCTGAGGTAGGCCTTATTCTTATCCAAAACTTAGGGATGAGGAAACAGGTTTAGAGGGCTGAAATGACTTTCGTAAAATCAAGTAATGAGTACACAGCAGAGCCGGGATGTGTGTCAGGTGACTTGACTCTGAAGCTCGTCCTCCCAGTCAGCTGTAATCATTGAAATCTGGTGTCTGGAACCCCTCTGGATAGATTTGTACTTTGGGGTCTTAATAAATGAAGGGCCAGATGTGCGTGTCCAAAATACAGATCACAGTTTGATGAGTTAAGCACAAAAGGCCTTTCGATTATTCAAGATATTCTTGAAAATTCAAGAATAGTGTCAGAGTGTCCATTGAAGCGACATAGCTATGTTGTACATAGTGATGAGTAGCATTAAGTACTACCTGTGTTTACTTGGTAATGTTGTTGAAGACAAATGCCATAGTGGAATTAAAAAATAGTCATGTAGTCATTCCTACTTAGTTTTATTGGAAAACAGTTGGATCATATTTTGTTTCCTTAGTCTCATGTCCCATTCTTATTTGGTGTCCCTTGAGTTTCACTGAAGTTCTGGAAAATATAATAAAAGGAGCTAATTTTGGGGGCCAAGAGTCTAGCAAAGGCATGCAGATGTGGCAGTGCAAGAAAGTAAAAGATGTGTCAATAGAGTTCTGAGGTTGGATGTCAAGTTTAACAGCGGGAAAGATTGACTACTGTTATACTTGTTTGAGAAGGATGAATTTGTTTGTAAGAAAGAAACCAGGAGATATATTTTTGTGGAGAAGTTAGATAGCATTTCTCAGTTAGGGTATTATGGGCTGAATGTTTGTATCCCTTTGAAATTCATGTGGTGAAGCCCTGAACCCCAGTGTGTTGGAGATGGGGCCTCTAAGTGAGCAAGTAGGGTTAAATGAGGCTTAAGAGTGGGGCCCTGATCCAATAGGATTAGACTCCTTATAAAAAGAGACATCAGAGAGCTCAATCTTTACACACATACAAAGAAGAGATCTTGTGAGCACACAGCAAGATGGAGCAACCTGCACGCCAAGAGAAGAGTCCTCAGAATGAACCAGCCCAGCCAGCGTCTTGATCTTGGGTTTCCCAGCCTCCAGAACTGTGAGAAAGACATTTCTGTTGTTTGAGCCACCCAGTCTGCATTTTGTTACAGCAGCCTAAGCAGACTAAGACGTAAGGCTAAAGTTGATTTGAAATGGAAAGGAAGACCAGGATGAACGTAAGACAAAGGGAGGAAAAACTAGAAGAGGCTATCTCTAGATCCATTTTCTAAGGGGAATTACAGTGTGATTGTAGAATTATAGAATCGTATGTGAAGGTTCTTTTTTAGAGTCAGTTGGAAGAGTGGTATAGTAGTCAGTGTCCTCCATGGACATCCGCATGGGAAAAAACATAAATCTAGACACCGACCTCACACCTTACACAAAAGTTAACTCAGAATGAACTGTACGTCTAAATGTAAAACTCAAAACCATAAAACTTCTAGAAGATAATATAGGAGACAAGGTAGGTGACTCTGGATGCAGCGGTATTTTTAAATACAACACCAAAAGCATGATCCATGAAAGAAAAAATTGGTTAAATTGAATTTCATTAAATTTAAAAACTGCTCTGTGATAGATACTTTTAAGAGAATGAAAACTCAAGCTACAGACTTGGAGAAAATATTTGCAAGACACATATCCAATAAAATACCTGTATCCAAAATATGCAAAGAATTCATAAAACTCAACAAAACAACCCAATTACAAAATGGGCAAAAGATCTGAACAGAAACCTCACCAAAGAAGATATACAGATGGCAGATAAGCATGTGAAAAGATCCTTAACATCACGTGTCAATAGAGAACTGCGCATTTAAACAAGAAGAAGATACCACTACAAACCTATTACAGAGGCTAGAATTTAAAAAACAAAAAACTCTGACAATACCAAATGCCGACAAGGATGTGGAACAACAGAAATTCTCATTCATTGCTGGTGGGAGTACAAGATGGTAGTGCCACTTTGGAAGACAATTTGGCTGTTTCTTACAAAATTAAACACCTACGATCCCATCTGGCAATGACGCTCCCAGAAATTGATCCAAATGAGTTGAGAACCTACATCCACATGGAAGCTGCACGTGGGTGTGTACAGCAGCTTCCTTCATAATTGCCAAAAACTGCTACCTGGGTGCCTAGTATGACATATTTAGTAAATGATTGTTGAAGATGTTAATAAGTAATTTATTATGAGAAATTCCAAAAGAAATCCATAGGAATATCAAAAAATTGAATGGGTTCAATTACATAATATTCACTATTCTTATTAAGGACAGGCTTTAAGATATAAAATAACTTTATTGATTAAGTTTGGCATTTTTCATGTAATAAAAATGCTTTAATGTTTACCATTTCTGTTCTTGTTTCAGTGATGTAGCTTGGTTCAATGAATCTTGGTTAAGCCGAATTAAAGAGGATATTGGTGACAACTGGAGAATAAAGGTATGCAGAATGAATGGCAGAAGCACTTGATCTAGTCAGTGGTTCTAAGATTAGCACTAAACTCAACTAAATCTTTTTTTCTTTTACTGACTTAAGGGTGCATTTTATTATGTATGGTTTGAGTTTTGACAGTTGTGTATGTTCTTATGTCACTACTATCATAATTAGATAAGGAATATTTCCATTAACCCAAAACACGCACTTATGCCCCTTCCCAGTCAATCCTCATGCCTAACTTGGCCCCAGGTGGCCACAGATGTGCTGTCTGTCACTATAGATTTCTTTTCTAGAGCTCCGTATAAATGGAGTCAGGAATCATGTTGTCTTTGGTACTCGGTGTGTCTAGCGTCTTTGACTCAGTGCGGTGCCTCTGAGACTCATCCACGCTGCCTGTGCTAGGAGTTGTTCCTGTTTTGCTGGGCAGTATTTCATCACATTGATGTACAATTTGCTCAGCCATCACCTGTTGATGGATGTTGAATTGTTTCTGTTTCCTCTCTCTTTCCTAATATTGGTAATTTATGTCTTTCATAGTTTATTCTTGGTAAGTCTGGCTTGATGTTTTTCTGTTTCATTGATGTTTTTTCAAAGAACTATCTTTTGTTTTCTCTTTTATTGATTTCCTCTCTGACCTTTGTTGTTTCCTTTCGTCTCCTTACATCTGCTCTTCTTTTTCTTGCTTCAGTTGTGGGTCCCTTTTTCCTGATATTAAGCATTGCCTTGGTCACGTTAGACACATTTTGACATACTGTGTTCTTATTTCATTCAGTTCAAAACATTTGGTAATTTCTCTTGTGATTTTTCCTTTGATCCATGGGTAAATTCAAAGTAGGTATTTCAAATTCTAAATATTTGAGGATTTTCTAGGTACCTTTCTTTTATTTATTAATTTCTAATTTAATTCTCTTTTGGTTTGAGAACGTACTCTGTATTGAGAAATTCGTTTACATTTACTGAGACTTCTTTTATGACCTAACGTACAGTGTCCTGGTGAATATGCCATGTGCGCTTGAAAACATGTATTCTTCAGTTCTGTAAATAGAGAGTATGTCAAATTTGTTGATAGTACTATTTACATCTTTTATGTCTTTATTGATTTTCTGTCTGATTGTTCTATCAGTTAAGGAGGGAGGAGTCCTTAAATCTCTAATGATGATTGTGGATTTGTCAATTTCTCTCAATTCTGTTAATTTTAAATCATGTAATTCGAATCTCTGTTATTAGGTTTATACACATTAATTTTTTTATGTCTTCTTGATGGATGAATTTACTTATCATTATGGAATGTCTTTCTTTATACCTGGTAATATTCTTTGTTCTGGAGTCTAATTTGTCTGATATTAATGTAGCCACTCCAGTTTTATGATTGTTTTTTGTTTTAGTATATCTTTTTCTATTCTTTCAATCTCTCTGTGTCTTTATATTGAAAGTGTTTTATGTAGACACCTAATAGTTGGGTCTCACTTTTTTTCCAATGACAATATTTTTTTTAAAATCTTCCGTTTCTTTTCATATATTCCTGTTTTCACTTAAATCCTTGAACATTTTAAACTAAGAGTTTTAACATTATTATCTTCTATTCTTTCATCTCTCGTTTCTGGGCCTGTTTCTATTGACCAAGTTTTCTATTCTTTATGGCCACATTTTCCTGCTGCTTCACAAGTGTAGTGACTGATTGAATGCTGGACCATGTAAAGTTTATTGTTGGGTGCTGGGCTTTGTATTCCTGTAAAGAGTGTTAGACTTTGTTCTTACAGGCGGTACTTGTGAATCAGGTTGATCCTTCAAGGTTTTGGGAGAGAGAGGCAGGTGGAGAGTTATTTTTTCTTCTAGGGCTAGGTTAGACCAACTACTAAGTTGTGACCTTTTTGGGATCTTTAGGGAATGCTTGTCTATACAACATAGTCTCCTCTGATTAGTGGGAATGTCAACAATTCTGGCCTTGTGTAATCTTTGGGAATTCTTCAGTATATAGTTCCTTCAGTTGTTCCTTCCTTGGAAATTATTTTTGTTTAATCTCATTGAGCTTTACCCACGCACATGCAAATTAGTGTTCAGCCAGAGTCAGAGGAACCACTCTGTAGATTTCTGGAGCTCTTTCTCTCATAGCTCTCATCTCTTCATTTGTCTGCCCTGCAAGTTCTGAGTATCTCTACCTTCCTGAACTTCTGATGTCTATCTCCTCAACTCAATGAGAACACCAGGCATTGTTTAGTTCCCCCGCCCCCATGCTGTGGTATGAAAATTGCATCCAGGGAGAGATCCTGGACTAGAGTAGGGCTCATCTTTTTTTCTCTTCTCTGAGAAATTAGGGTTCTATATTGCCTGTTTGCTAAAATGTGAAAACAATTGTTCCTTGTATTTTTTCCTGTTTTCCAGTTTGTGGCAGGAGAGTAGTCTGGACCCTGTTACTCACTCATGACTGAAGGTGGACATGTTCATAGCTAAATCTTTAATTGGTACTTGAATTCATTGTGACTCACTTTAAATAGAGTCACTCTGGTTAAACTGTAAGCATGAAGACATTTTTTTCTTTTACTCAAAGTCTGAGTAAAGCTTTGATGTTTAAAAGTTATGATGTACTTGTATTTGTAGAATTCTGATTGTTTATGTTGTCATTTTTATCAGGGGAAAGTTTTTGTCGTCTTTCACCTTGGCATATGTTTTCTTTTATTATTAATATAAATAATTTATTTAATTCTTATTCTCTTTCCCCATTAGGCTAGTAATTTAAAGAAGGTACTTCAAGGAATTATGAGTTATTACAATGAGGTATGAAAAATATCTGACTTTGTTTAAATACAAAATGCTATGTTATAGTTATATTGATGCTGAAAAATGGCGGCTTTTTGTTTACAACATTTTACTGGAATATAATTCATCATTAGAATAGGTTATTGTTTTTTGCCATTTTTAGAACACTCAAATTTTGTGAACATAAACAGGCTTAAAGTTAATACATTGATTTGTAAAATAATGTTGCTTCTATATTGATACTCTTTAGATTGATTGTTTCCTCAAATAGAATTACCTTCATCTTTATGTGATTTGATTGTATGGTATACTATATAGTAGACCTTATAATTAAATTGAAGTAATTTTCTATGTAAAGCATTATTTTGACATTTCTTTCCAGTGTAAAAAGCTGCAAAGATATACTGTGAAATTATGCTTGTGCAAGTGAACTGGGGGGAAAAGTGAAAAATGAAAGTAATATTAACATCACATTAGATAGTGCATTATTCAAGTAGTATTTTTTTTTTCTTATTCAGCATGATAAGTTTTCTATTAGGATTATTTGATATAAGAAAGTTTATTGCTTAATGTTTAGAAGCTTTGGTTTGGTTTTTGCTTTTAAAGAATTTGTTTCAATATTTTAAGTTGTCACACAATTACAATTTAATTTCTTCCAAGTAACTTTAAGACTGAAATTTTTCATTTCATTAATACCTAAAACTCATTTTGAAGCTTTTTTTAATGCCAAGAAAACTGTTTAATAAGCTAAAAAGAAAGATAAGGCCAGGAAACATTAATCCATCAGATTTGTTCATTTGTAAAAGTGTGGCTGTTTATTTTGTGGTTTCTGTTAAGAGATCATATGTCAAAATACTATGGCTATCCTTTGACTTAGCATCAATCTGTTTACTTTTTAGTGGAAAGACACAAGTTTTGTCATAATAGATTAGGACAAGGATTTCTTAAACACTCCCTCTCTCTGACAGTGGGATCGTAGACTATTTGGTGTAAAACTATTTTCGATGATTTTGGTTGGTTGCTCAAAGCTTGGGGAGGTTGCTCCAACTTTGCTAACTGGTTTTCTTCACCAACTATGGATTTGTCATTTGTTAATTCATTTGAGTCATTTCATGAACCTATTTATAGTGGATTTTCCTTGTAATAATTGAATGCAGTAAATTTGTAGCCTATGTACATGACTGATCTAATTTCCTGTTTCCATACTGCAGTTTTTGGGGCAACAGGTTTCTGAAGAACTTATCCCTGATTTAACCCAGATAACTGAATGCGCAGATTCTGTGGAGCTCGGGAGGTTGCTCCAGCTCATTTTAGGCTGTGCGGTCAACTGTGAAAAGAAGCAAGGTAAGTGAATTTCAATCATTTGAGGATATCTGCTTTCAGAATCAACCTCCATTTCTATAGAAAGTAGCATAAAAATGTCCTATTACAGGTCGGCAGAAAGCGCCCTGAAAGGTAAGCCAGGAGATCTGAGTTCTAGCGCAGTTCTGCCGTTAAAAAGCTGCACGTCTTCAGCCTTCTAGTTGTACCTGGGTTCTGAGATTCAGATTCAGTAGCTAAATACAATGTATTTTAGTTGAACTTAATGTATGGAGTGCTTAGGACTTAGTGGATATTCGGTAAAAATTACACTTCATCCCATACATAATGTGAGATGTAGAACCTTAGGTTGATCCGGATCTTTATAAACAACTATGCAGCAACTAAATTATAATGCAGGCATCTTCAGATGATGTTCTTCTCTTTTCAGAAGAATGCCTGTCCAGTGTAACCTGCAGATAAGCCAGTCTCATGATAGAAATGGAATTGGTATATAATTTGGTATATCCAAACACAGTGATTCGTATCCTGCTGAGTACAAAAAGAGCGTTTCTGGTAGAATGAAGTGAATTCTACCAAAATTCTGCTTCCCCTGGGGCTTGCATCAGTGTGGGTGGTGAGCTTTTTGATACTGATGTTTTTCGCGTGATTCGTCCAAACTTGGCCTTAGTGCATCATCTTTATAAGAGAATGTTAGGTGCTTAAGTTGGTAAAATGCTTTAAGCCAGGGCCTTAGAAAACACGTTCAGTGTTATCCAAGTAATGAAGAGAGCGTGTGAGACAGGATACCTTCAGTAAGAACAAGTTCAGGAAGGAGGAAAATAAAATACATGAAATTAGTTGTAGTTTATCAATAAAAAAGGGATTGGGCATCAGAAGACTTTGGTGTTAGTCCATTGCTTTCATTAACTAGCCCCTTTTTTCCAGGGCAAGTCAGTACTTTTCCATAGGCTTTTATGTCTCACAGATAATGTCAAAGATCTGTATGTTGGGTTTTCATAAAAGCAAGGAACATTTGCTCATGGAAAATTAAACTTTCTATAAATGTCTAATTACAAATTGGTAAATAGTAATTCATTTATAAATTAGCAATTTTCTATTATTGTGATCCTTTTTTATTTGATTACTGCTTTGTTTCTATTTCAATTAGTGATTATTTTCAGTATTTTTTTGTTTAATTTTAGCACGTTTGTCAGTTTTGTTTTTCACAAAGAACCAACTTTTGGCTTTGATTCTATTTTGTTTGTACTATTTAAGGTCTGTTTTTATCTTTTATCTCACTTCTTCTATTGTGAATTAATCAGTTTTTTCTATTTTAAGCTGTAAGTGACATTTTAAGCCATAATTTCCGTTAAGTTATGATTTTGTTGCCTCCTGCAAATTTTTGGTATGACATGTAGTATTTTCATGATTTAGTTCTAAGCATTACTTAGCAATTTTGTCCTCAGATTTTTTAAAGGAAATTTAATTCCTGGATACATAAATAAAAGTTTAGCAGGTAGTAAATATAAAGAAATAGTTTTATTTTCATTATTTAAAAGATCAGGATTATCTAATTGGATTTATTTTTGGAGGTATGAGTCTAGGTTTCCGACTTTTAGGAGGGAGCAGATAAATGAAGAGCAGCTTTTAGTAATTTAATTAAAATTTAAAGCCAAAACAGCTGCGGAATATAAACAACTTCCACGCCTTTAATGCTTTGCGGTGAGGGTTGACTTTCAAAATGATTCCGAGGTGTTGCTGTAGCTCAGTGTTGCAGGAATGAACTGGTTGATTACAGTACCCTGCTCATCTTGGTGGGGAAAGAGATCATTGTTATGAAGGTTTCAGCAGACCTGAAACACTCTGGTATCTAAAAACTTGTGTTACGGGAAAGCATTCTCTAGTTGTCTTCCCCTCCCCACCCCATAGCGCTTAGTGGTAGGTGCCTACCAGAGTCTGTCCAGTTCTTGGCTTGACAAATAAAAGAAAGATTAGAGAACTTCTAGATGTTTCCAGAAGAATCATCAGAACAATGCAACTTTTAGAAAATAATAAGTCCTGCAAATTTTGGGAAAATAGTTGTAGCTGGAGAACATGTAGCTGACGTGGATTTAAATCTGCAAATAAAGGTGTCGTGGTTCCTCATTTCTGACTGAGACAGAAGCAGCTTAACTTACTGATGTGTGTTTGTGGTCAGGCATAAGGCTCTCCTTGAGACGAAGCCTGGTGAATGCTGAACAGGTGTTTTCAGGAAGCTGTGGGAGTTCTTCTTTGAAAGCCTTCCTGAAATGAACTTCCCGAAATGTAGGTGGTAAAATGAAACTTCTGGGCTTAAGATTTCGGGAGTTCATTTAATACGTGTGAATTCATCCCATTACACTGAATATTTAACAAGAGGGAAGAAGTTGTCGTAATTGTTTTAAGATTAATTGCAATTTCTTGTCTTTCTCTTCCTCATGAGAAAATGAGAGGTTTTCTTCTTTAAAATAAAATATTTACATAACTATTTTCAATTCTGTATATTTGTTTTCAGTGGACGTATTTCTTGTGGAAAAATAATCTACTTGCATAAAAAATTGTGGTAAATGAATTTTTATACTGTTAATTGAATGGCTGAAGTACTGTGGGTAAAGAGTAGTTTTTTTTCAGATCTGTTTTTTTTTTTTAAATCACAGAACATATTCAAAATATAATGACACTGGAAGAGTCTGTTCAGCATGTGGTCATGACTGCTATTCAGGAGGTAGGTTATGCCATGCTCACATAGGCATGGAAATCCTAAACCACGTGATGTAAAACTTTTCAGATAAATTTTATGGATGTGTATATTTCCGTTTGTGCAAACTTGCCCTTTGCCGCCAGCTTGCTTATCTTTAGTTATTGTCTCCCCTTTTCTTTTTTTTTCCAAATTACCTTAAAAAGACTTCAAGCCCAATTTTAGTACCTTTGCATTTTAAAAGATAAATATTGTCACGTTCCTTCAAATAACTTTATCTAAGCAGGATAAACAACCTCAGCCCAGATAGGCATTTTTGTTTCTTCTCTTTTTCTTGCCAGTTAGGGCAGTCAGTCCTCAAATTTTAAAGTATGTATGTGTCTCTCTCTCATGTGCATTTTCAGAATGTTAGAACTGTGAGCAATTTTGGTGATACTTAGGGTTTGGAGCCAGCTAAACTGGGTTCAAGCCAGACTAGTTATCGTTGCTGAACCATAAAGATTCAAAAACCGTATGGTGCGTGTCAAGTCTTGAAATCAGCCTGCCTGGCTGAGGTGAAGTGCCGTGCAGAGGAGACCTGAGGGGAAGCAGAGCGGGCGTCGGGAGGACAGACAGAGTTAGAAGGGGCATGACTTGGAGGGAGACATCACACGGGCCTTGAGAAGTCTCCATCCTCCGCATTTGCATTGTTGGTTTGAATCCAAAGCATCGCTGCCCAAAAATGAATCTGCCTTTCATATACAAAAAGTTGTTTTCCAGGATCTTTTCTTTCACATAATAATAGCTCCTGCTTTTAAAATGACTTCTCAAGTTAGGAATTTTACCATAGCACTCATATTTTTAAAATGTTAATTTATTTTATGGACGAATCATTTTTTATTATTTAATGTATTCAGTTTTATTTAGTAATTCATCTTTTAGAACTTGGATTGTAAGTTTTCAGTACACAAGTATTTTAAATATCTCTACATGTTTCAAGGACACTTTACTTATAATGTCCTCACTAATATCATGCTTGAACATTGTGTTATTTAGCTTAAACCTCTAAAAAATTTTTATTGGAATAATATTCTAAGGATCATCAAATTAAGACAAGGAAAAACTAAATATGAGCATTTTACTGCCCTTTCAAATAAACATATTTTTATTGCACAAATATCACTTTATGGTACTTAATTTTAATTTTACCATTTTAATTTCCTAGTTGATGAGTAAAGAAATACTGAGCTCTCCTACAAATGATGCTCTTGGAGAATTAGAGCAACAGGTGAGTATTTCAGTAAGTGAGGAAAATGTTGAAAACAGTCCCACAGTTCCCTTGCCAGTTGCTGTCATGTTATGGCTTACATAGGAGAGCATATACAAGATTATTTCCCTCTATGAAACGTAGACCTTTTTTCCTGCTGTAAGACCTCAATTGAATATTATTATGCCTTCCTTCATGAGTGCAAGTAGTGCCCTCCAGAGTTTCTGTGGTTATGTTCACAGTGCTGAGTGGCATTGAACTTCCCTTCTGACATTTGTGATACATATGTGGCCCATTCTATATGGTTATACAATTAAATAGTAGACAATTTAAAAACTTCTGTGAAGTTCTTATTTATCTAATAAGGTATTGTGATTTTTGTCCCAGTTGTGTCCTCTCTCCTGATGTTGAAAAAACAGCTCGACCGTTTGCCTGGTTTTATTGCGTGACTGATTTGCGTGGGGCAGGGGCAGTCTCCCCTGCGTGTGGCCCCGCCTGGGTGGAAGGGAAAGGGCATGAGGAGAAGCAGCTGCCTCCTGTGCTTTTCCTGTTACATTTTTGTGCATCTCTTTTTCCTGAGTGTCACCAGTCATCTCAAGTATTTCAAATTAAAAATTTTTCCTATAAAATTTTTATTTAAATTTAAGCATGCCGTGTTGTAATTTTTTTCTGTGATGACTTTAAGCAGTGCATCCTCTGCTACTCTTGTTTAAATATTTCAGGAGGATTTTCATAAAATTTTACTTCTATGGGAACTTAGTCTTATATGTTAATGAGACTGTGTAAACATTATTCACAAAGAACAACATATTAAGACCTATTTGTTAATAGGTAAATTTAAAATTCATTTCCAAGAATACTGTATACATATGTTTTGATAAAAGTATCTTTTTCAGTTTGTGTCAAAACAGATTTACTAAGAATTAGGGCATTTTATATTTCAGCTTAAGAGAGCCCTGGAAGACCTTCAGGAAGCACTGGCAGAAAAAGAAGAACTGAGGCAGCGATGCCAAGAACTGGATATGCAGGTGCGGGAAAGAGAGCTGAGCTGAGAAGGTTTCCTCTCTAAGTTCACGAGGGTTTCATTGTAATTAATTAATTGGCAAAGTGTTTCTGAGGTTGGGTTTCGTTTCATGGCGGGACCTTTAAAAGGATTCATTTTAGGTGTGAATATTCAAGCATGAATTTCATAATTATTTTTCTCTTAGAGTTAAAAATTGTTGGCTTAACTACTTTTTTGAGAAGATCATTCTAATTGTTGAATTTCAACTATTTATATGAGACCTTAGTTTTTTCTTTTGTCAAAAGGGGGAATCAGGGCCAGCCTGGTGGCGCAACGGTTAAGTTCGAGCCCTCCGCTTCAGCGGCCTGGGGGTTGCTGGTTCAGGTCCTGGGTGTGGACCTGCGCACTGCTTGTCAAGCCATGCTGTGGCAGGTGTCCCACATATAAAATGGAGGAAGATGGGCGTGGATGTTAGCTCAGGGCCAATCTTCCTCAACAAAAAGGATTGGGGGCAGATGTTAGCTCAGGGCTAATCTTCCTCAAAAAAGGGGGGGCACTCACAGTATCTTCTTCATAGGATGTGGCTATCAAGTGAGGTCATTTATGGAAGGACTTAGAAGTGCTTGACTCCCAATAAATGCCACTGCCAAGTTTGTTTCGCTAACATCTGCACGTGATCAACACGCGTATATAGTTCTTGTGTTCGTATGCACATACATGTTAACAAAATAAACGTGGCATGAAGGACAATAATTAATGGTTAAAGGGGTAGATTGTCAAACCAGGCTACTTGTATTCAGAACCTGGCCACGTTAGTAGCTGGTCGTATACTCTCAGGCAAATTACTTAATTTCTCTGTACTTCAATTTTCTCTTTTGAGAAATGATGTGATAATAGTCTGTATCTCCCGGAGTGAGCGATTATGAGGATGAAATGAGTTAATGTACCTAAATCACTTAGAGCAGGGCCTGGCACAGAAGCAGTATGTGTGTGATTGCATATATTGTTGTTATGACTGTTACATGAAAATGCAGATGTGAAGATCTTGGAAAATTACACAGAATGCTAAATGTACCATCCTAATATGCTGTGTGTAAATTGCATTTTTTGTTCAAATGATGAGCTACATAAATAGTTGACTTTGAAAAGTATGAGGACAGGGAACAAGGGTTATGGTAGCATTATCCTTGCTTGATGAAATAAATATCTAGAATGATAGGGCTGGGTAATATTTCTAACCCTCCATGGTTTGCAAATAAGGAAAAGAGAAGTGACTTGGTCAGGGTGACTCAGCTGCGTAGGGCAGTGGCAGCACTAGTATCCGGGTCTTCTAACTTCATCTTTAGAAATCAGCCCTCTGTGTTTGAACAAAGGCAGTGTCTCAAAATTGGGGGAATTCCACCTGTTCTCCTTCCACCTTTCCTAACCACACTCATCTCACACATTGTAACACGCATGCACACACATGCAAAGCATCTGAGATGGATCACTTTCAAATAAGATTGTATCTACCCTCCAGATTACCTCCTGTAAGGAAGAGAGGATTGAATCATCTGGGTATTATTGGTCTGATGTAGGATCTCTGTACAGTTTTCTGAGAAATTCTTATACAAGGACACACAATTGTGTGTTAAAAGATTTGAGTGTTTCTAACACGTAATAAAGAGTATCTGATGATCTGATTTTAGCTGAAAAGTTTAGACATCCCAAGTTTTGGCGTTTTAATTCTAATATTAAAATAGAGTCAGCTCTAAACTATATGCTGCACACATGAAATGAATGATTACTGCATATAATCAGAACAAAAAGTACTTATTAATTTAACAGTGTGAAATCCACACAAGTATATATGACACATATCCCAACTGTATAAGGAAAATTGTTTTGAAAAATGTTTACTTTTAATCATATATAACTTGGGGGTGATTTTAACATTTGGGAAGGATTCTTTTTTAATACCTAACCAAATGAACCAAAAAAAGAAAAATAAGCTATAAGGAAATTCACCAAGGGCAGGTAAACAAGAAAAAGCAGGTAATCAGGGAAAGAAGCAGGCAGATGACACTGACAGAGGTGCTGCACAGCAGGCACTATTATTCTTCCCTGATCCCCAGCCCGTGAAGGGGAATCTACAGAAACCTTGAGCCGTCTCACTGCAGTCTACCCAATCAGAAGGAAATTCACCCTTTGATTCCTTCCTTTTCTTTCTTTGGACTGGAGAGGAGTAGAAATGACAGCTAAGAAACTAAGGCTGACTCCTTCTAACAGAAGCAAAGGCTATAGGGCTGCACACTGAATTAGGGAAACAGTCTAATGCCCAGAGGACATCCTTCATTGGAGTGGGATATGCTTCTCACCACCCTGGCTGAGGATACTTAAACCTCAGAAGTCAAGGCTAGCCCAGGTGTTGTAAAAAGATGGTCCACTGCGTCAGCTGCCCCCCACCTTTGCCTGGCCGTTCGCAAGGCTACGTAGAGCAGCGTGGAGAGAAAACAGTCCTAACCATAGCTTCGAGGGGAAAATATACAGCTCCTGGGTATAGTGGAGAGGGTCGCCAAGAAGTCATCAACACCACCTCGGAACAAATAGGTATCTTGACTGCCAACAAAGCATGAAGTAGGTGAAAAGCATGACATCTGTGGGAACATTACAGATTAAAAACAGAAATAGAGAAGAGCATGTAAAAGACAATAGCCAAACTTAGAAAATAACTTTTGCTTCATGTGATGTAACAATGTCATAAGAACACATCAGTAAAATAGACGAGGTTGTAGGAAGCACAGTGCAGGTTCAAAGGAGATTGCAGATATAGACCCAGATCAGTGAATAATGTTTAACAACAAGCCTTATTCTAGTTAAGCTGTTGAACTTGAAGATTAAAGAAAAAAACAACAACTCAGTCATTCAGGTAGAAAAGGTAAATCACACACAAGGACAAGAAAATCAGGCTCCCCAACAAGTTCAATGCCAGAATACAGAGGAGCAAGGTCCACACTGTGCTGCGGGAGGGGACAGCAGTGAAGCCAGAGGAAGAGCTCCATGCAAACACTTGAGTTCTTGAGAGAAACAAATTGTCGACACAGTCCAGCTAACAAACGTGTTTTAATCAGAGTACAAAATGCAAGAATGGAGATTCTGTGGTGAAAGATCTGGTGGTGAAGCCTGAATTCATTTAAATACAAAACTGTGTTAGTTCTTTGCAAATTATGGTTATGAATACTGGAACAACTGAAGTGCCGATTCAGCAAGTCAGGAGGACGGCCTGATTATGTGCACTTTACAAAAAGAAAGACAAAAAACTCCTCAGGAGATTTTGATGTGATGTTTCAGAAACTCTGATGTGGTCTGCTAGTTCTGTTCCAGGCAAGGGTGTTGCGGCCCTCGGGGAAGTTACGGGCTGCTAACCAAGGGCTGTCTGCTGCCCCTCTCGGCCGTTGCTCCTGACGCCTGGCAGCAGGTGGCACCCCTTCACTTCCCGTGGTGCAGTGGCCTGTTCTTACTATGTTAGAGAAAACATACTTCTGCCCAGCATTGTACAGATATGTTCATATTCTGAGGCTGTGATTTTCAAACCTTAATATGCCTAAGAATCATGTGGGACTGAACACAATGTGATAAAGAGGACTCCAGCTATAGAAGTTTAGATTTTATTTTTTTTATTTAAAATAAATAATATAAAAATAAATATGATAAAAATTGTGAAGTTAAATCTGGGTGATGTGAGAAAATAAGTCTTGTTTTTGAGCTTTTATTAGTTTTTTTAGCTTTTTGAACTTTTTCTTTTAAATAGCTCAGAGAGAGAGACAGAGAAGAGAGAGAAAAACAGAAATAGAAAGAGAGGGACAGAGGCAGGCGCAGAGTGAACCTAAAGAACATATCACTGTGGGAACTTGTTAAAGCAGGTATTTAGAACCACCCTTGGATGTTCTAGGTCATAGATCTGGGGCGAGTCCAAGGAATGTGCATGTCTGTGGCTCTGGAACCACAATGTGAAACATGGATAAGAATGAGGACCCACCAGGTGTTGAAAACTAAATTTGCCTTTGCTCTTCTGCTTTCTTTAGAGGATTCCTACCCAGTTTTGAACAGAAAGGGTATTGTTTCTCCTCTGCCAGTCTTTTTATGACAGCCCTGCCCTTCAATCTAGAATGAGATATTCCTTTCTCTGTGCCCCACCCCGATCCTGTAGTCTGCTTCCTTCAAAGTACCTTCAACATTTTCTCTCCTATCTTTGTTTACTTTTCTACTGTAAGGATCTCAAGGGCACAGACTCTCATTCTTTTTTGTATCTTAGTCACTTAGGATTGTACGACACAGTAGTAGTCACTAAACTGCTTATATGACAAGGCATTGAATTTAGGAAGAGAAATTGTTCCCTCCTATCCTCTGCCTGAAGAAGTTTCCCAGTCTTTGTTTGTGTTTCTCGTTTGGAGGACGATGTCTGTAACTTGCCTATACGGTATTGAAGGCAATCAGGCAATTTTAATTTCCTGTTATTAGCTCAGTGTGTCAATATGTAGTTTCATTCCCACAATTGGACTGAGTTAATCACACCTATTGAAAATAAAAATAGCAAACTTGTGCAGTAATATTTGGAAGTCATGATAGGTCAGCTTTTTTTCAAACTAATCTTAATAAAATCACATGTAAACTTCTGGTCTTATAAAAGCTCACAGCCTCAGCTATAAAGTTTTAAAGATCTTTTTAAGTGGAAAAAAGTAGAACCAAGGAAGCAAATCATGCTTGTTACATAAACATGTAAGTAAAATAAAAGTGTATCAGGTACTGATATTGATGGAATTCTAAAGTTACGTATTTTTATCCATTTTAAATCATAAGCACACATTCTCAGTGTGCAAATGGATTCAGTTCAGCTTTTTGTTCTTGATTCATTAGTCAAAGAACATGCTTGCCCCCGGAAGATGTGATGTGTAACTGATAATTTTCCACTATCAACCTAAAATGATAACTTTGTGCATATATGTGTGTGTTTTGGTTTACTAGGTAACAGCATCCTAAAAATAAATTCATACCTTAAAGAGGAACAAATTAATTTTTTGAGGTTGATTGGTGCATCCAATTTTAGAGACTTAGAAACGTTTTCTTCCTAGAACCAAAGCATGACAGTTGAAGATAGTCTCCTTATATGTGTTAACTGTTTTCTCTGTATGAGTCAAATTAATTTTATTTCTTGTGTTTGACCCAAACCTCCTAGAACCAGAATTCCAGAGTTGAAAGTTTCCTTAGAAATTCCCTAATCTGATTGACCAAGCTGTTAGGCTTAGTCAGAATGAGAATCCAGAACTCTGGGCTCTATTTTCACTGTTGAGGCTTACGTTTGTTTGTTTGTTTTTAGGTGACTGCACTTCAAGATGAAAAGAATTCACTGGTTTCTGAGAATGAGATGATGAATGAAAAACTTGACCAGCTGGATGGATCTTTTGATGATCCAAATACAATGGTTGCAAAAAAGTATTTTCATGCACAGTTACAACTAGAACAATTACAGGAAGAAAACTTCAGGTAATATTTTTAGTAGAAATCATTCTGTCGAGCTGTCTATTAAACTGGTAGCTAAAAAATTATAATATCAACAATTACTAAGCATTATAAAACTTGTGTAGGACACTGATTAAGCTACTGAAAATGCCAGTTGGTATAAGTGTCTCCTGCCCTCACAGGGCTCACACTCCAGTTAGGCAAGTGGGATACATACACAAAAACAGAACAGTTCAAAATAGCGTGTGCTAAGGGCCAAATGAAGGCCAGAGGCATGTCTACCAGGAGTTTAGAGTGATTGCTAAAGCCTGGGGAGAATGAGGGGTTTCCTCTTACAGAGGAGAGGGAACCTGATAATAAATGGAAAAATTGTAAATCTTCAGCTAAAGAGATACTTTTCATTTTAACTTTTGTTATTTCTTCTTTAAAAAAAAAAGGTGTGCATCTTACCTTTCCTAAACATTCATTGTGTTCTGTGTGCCTGCTCCTGAGCCTCGCACTAGGAGGCCTTGAGAGCAGGTGCTCTGATTGTAGTGTATGTATTTTTGTTGTTGTTCCTTTTTTTGATATAATTTCAAACTTATGAAAAAAAAGTTGCAAGAGAAGTACGAGGAACCTTCTCTTTATACCTTTCGCTCATATTCAGCAGTTGTTTTACAGTTTTCTCCATTTGCTTTAGCGTGTCTCTATTTATGTACATAGGTATACAAGTTTTTTTCTGAACCATTTGAGAGTAAGTTGCAGACATGCCTCTTCATCCCTGTATACTTCCGTATGTATTTCCTGAGAGAAAGGGCATTCTCTTACAGAGCACAGCATAATGACCAAAGTTAGAGAATTTGTTCTTGATACAATTTTATTGTCTAATCCAGAGATCACATTCAAATTCCATCAGTTGTCTCACTGTCCTTTATGGCTATTTTTTTTCCTGGTTCAGAATGTAATCCAGGATTATATATTGCATTTCGGATGGATTCTTATTCAATAGACTCTAAATCCATTGCTATCATCATTTATTTTGATGCTGAAATTATCCCAGATTTGACCATCGGGAAGCCTTTCAGATGGCCTCTTGTGTCCTTGCAACATGTTGCTATCCTTCTTTGAGCATTTTCTTACTTTCTGGCACAAGAAAATGTTCCAGACTCATTTTGTCCTTTTCCTTTCCCACTTCTGGAATCAGCCATTTCTCCAAAGAGTTCTGATTCCTTTTAGTGAAGAATGTTACTTAGAGATCCATGCTCCAGATGAATTTTTCTATCATTGCTTCTAGGCCACGTTGGTGCACAGAGATAGGAAATGCACTTGCACAAGTTCATACATGCCCATGATCACACACTTGTCTATACACATCTGCATTTATTTTTATGTCTGCATTTATGAACAGTGAGTTCATATTGACATCTTTCATTTTGGTCCAGTGACTTCAGGGTTCATTCTGATCTTCTCCATTTCTATATTCTAACTCCCTTCTCCATTAGTGAGAGAACTGGTTTCCATTTTCCTCAATATGTTTTCTCAGTTACTCAATCCCAAAACGCACAGAAAGTAATTTAAGAATTGCTTACCCATGCACCTGTAAACAGCAACTAATACTAGACTTCAGTATGTTTACAGTTCTTTTTTTCACAAGGTAACATTTACGTGTTGTGAAATGAATTACTGAGGACAGTTTGGTGTGTTTTAACAAATGCATGCATTTGTGTCACTCACACTTTTGTCATTTGATAGGTCATTTCTGTCACTGCATAAAGTTCCCTTATGCCCCTTCCCAGTCAACCCCGCCTCCCAGAGGCTCATTGATTCTTTTGACCATAGATTTGTTTTCTCTGATCTAGAGCTTCACGTGGGTTGGACCAGGCAGAACGAACTCTTTGGTGACTGGCCTCTTTTGCTCGCATTTTTGTGAGACTTAGCCATGTTGTTGAATATGTTAGTAATTCATTCCTTTTTATTACTGAATAATATTCCATTGTATGGAATTATTCCACATTATACCACATTTTGTTTATCCATTTTCCTTTAGACGGACATTTGGGTTTCTAGATTTTGGCTATGTTTATACATAAAGCTGGTATGAACACTGGAATATAAGATTTTTTGTGAACATATTTTTTCATTTCCCATTGGCAAATACATAGAGTAGTATTGCGGAGTTATACTGTAGGTCTAGATTTGATTTGAAAAGATACAGCAAGCTATTTTCCTGAGTGGCCCTACCTTTTTGTGTTCCCACTGTGCTGCTGGAGCGAGTTGCTCTAGTTGCTCTGCCTGTGTCAGACAGTTTGGTCGCATCAGTCTTCTTAATTTTAGCTTTTCCAGGGAACGTGTACAAGTATCTCATTGTGGGTTGTGTTTTTAAAGATTGGCACCTGAGCTAACAACTATTGCCAATCTTCTTTTTTTTTTTTCTTTCTGCTTTTTCTCCCGAACCCCCCCAGTACATAGTTGTAATATTATTAGTTGTGGGTCCTCCTAGTTGTGGCATGTGGGACATTACCTCACCGTGGCCTGATGAGCAGTGCCCTGTCCATACCCAGGATCTGAACCAGTGAAACCCTGGGCTGCCGAAGCCAAACGTGCGAACTTAACCACTTGGCCACGGGCCAGCCCCTAATTGTGGCTTTAAGTTGCATTTTCCTGACAACTAATGATGTGGCAAAGCCCCTTTTCATCTGCTTCTTGGCAATATATCTTACTTTCTGAATTGTCTCTTCGCATTTAGCCTACTTGGCTTGCCTTTTTATTTTATAAATGGCGTCTTTCAAAGAATAAAAGTTCTTAACTTAGGTGAAGTCTGATTTATCAGTATTTTAAGATTAGTGCTTTTTGTGTACTGTCCAAGAAATCTTTGTCTACTTCTGTGTCATGAAGATACGCTCTACTATTTTCTTCTAGAACTTTCATAGTTATATCTTTTACACTTAGGTCTATGGTCCGTCTTTGATTGATTTTTTGAAGATAGTGTGAGATGTGGGAGTCAAGCCTTATTTTTATTTTCCACATCAGTATCTAGTTGTTCTAATATCATTGATTGAAAAGATCTTTATCTTACTCCATCAAATTCCTTTGGCACCTTTGTGAAAAATGATACAACCTAAAGTGTGGGTCACTCTCTGGACTCTCAGTTCTTTTCCCTCGGTCAGTCTGTCTGTCTTTATGCCTATATGACACGGCCTTGATTACCACAGCTCCAGAGTAAGTCATTTAAAATCAGGTACTGTGAGTATTCCAACTTTGTTCTTCCTTTTCAAATTTTGTTTTGGCTATTTTAAGTCTTTTGCATTTTTACGTAAAATTAAGCATCAGCTAGTCAGTTTTGTAAGGAAGAAAACAACTTTTGTGATTATGATTTGGATTGTATATATTTGTATATAATCTTAAGTATATTAAGAATTTCTGTCTACAAATATGGTATCTTCATTTATTTAAATCTTAATTTCTCTCAGCAATGTTGTCTTGTTTCCAACATAGAAATCTTGTGTCTTTTGTTAACCTTATTCCCGAGTATTTTATATTTTTGATGCTGTTACAAATGCAATTAAAAAATTATTCTAAAAAATTGCTGCTAATGTGCAGATTACAATTGATTTTTGTATATTGAAACTTTTATCTTGTATCATGTATTTTGAAACTTTTGTGTCTTGCGAAGTTTCTTAATTCACTGATTGATTGTAGTAGTCTGTTTGCTAAGAAAATCCTAAGGAATCTGCAGTCATGGAGTCTGGTGACAGAGCTTTGTGTCTTCTCTGTTATTTCCTTCTTGCGTTTACTTCTGCTTGAGCAGGAGCAGGCCTCTGGCTTTGTTTCGGGTCCTCGAGGGGAAAGTGTCCAGTGAAGTGCCATCGAGGATGAAGCCAGCTGTAGCGTTTTCTAATGTGCTTTTTATCAGATTAAGGTGTTCCTTTTTATTTCTGGCTTGCTCAGAGTTTTTATTATTAATTGGTGTTGATTTTTGTCAAATGATTTTTCTGCATCTTAAAAAGAGTGTGGTTTTTCTTTTTCATTTTTTAATGTGATCTATTAATTTTTGTCTGTTAAAAAATCTTCTATTCCAACGACAGTCTGCTTTGGTTATACTTTATTATCCTGTATACATATGACTGGATTCGTTTTGCTGTGTTGAAAGAATTTTGTAACTGTCTGCATAATAGGTATTGGTCTGTAACTTTTTTCTCTTGTAATGTCTTTCAGGTTTTATCAGAGTTCTGCTAGTCTCATAGAATAATTGGGAAGTATTCTCTCCTCTTCTGTTTTCTGAAAGAGTTTATGTAAGAATGATATTATTTCTTCCTTAAATGTTTGATAGAATTTATCAAAACACTCTGGACCTGTGGTTTTCTTTGTGAAAGGGCTTTTAATGACAAATGTGATTTCTTTAATGGTCATGGGCTTTTCAGATTTTCTATTTCATCTTGTGTCAGTTTGATAAGTTGTTTTTTTCAAGGTATATGTTTCTTTCATTTAAGTTGTTGAATTTATTGGCATAAAGTTGTTCATAATATTCTTTTTATTATCCCTTTAGTGACTGTAGGAGCTGTATTGATATTTCCTTTTTCATTCCTGATATTAGTAATTTGTATTTTCTCTCATTTTGTTAATCACTCTTGCTAGGGGTTCATCAATTTTATTAATCTTTTCAAACACCCTCCATTAGCTTTCTGTATTGTTAGTTTTAGGTCTCTGTTCTTTCTTTCTTTCCTTTTACTTACTTTGGATTTAATTTGCTCTTCTTTACCTACTCTATCAAGGTTGAAACTTAGATGACTGATTTTAAGCCTGCCTTCATTTCTAATATAAATCTTTAAAAGTGTAAATTTCCCTCTAAGCACTGGTTTAGCTGTGGTTCCAAAATTTTGTTGGTTGTCTTTCTGTGATTATTCACTTTGAAATATTTTCTAATTTCCCTTGTGATTTCTTACTTGACTCATGGGCTATTTAGAAATGTGTTGTTTAAATTCCAAATATTTAAGGCATTTGTAGACTTTTTTTTTGTGACCGATTTCTAATTTAATTTCCTTGTGGCTGGGAAGGTAGTCCATGAGATTTCAGTCTTTTAATATTTATTAATACCAATTTTATTGTTCATCATATATTTTATTGTGGTGAGTGTTCCATGTGTACTTGCAAAGAATGTGTGTTCTGTGATTTTTGACTGACGTTCTATAAATGTCAATTATATCAAATTGGTTAACAGTGTTATTCAGATCTCTTCTATATTTTTACTATTTTTGTTTAGTTCTATCATTTATAGGGAGACGGGTGTTAAAAATTTCACCAGTGGGTTTGTGGATTTCTCCCTTTGATTCTGTCAGTTTTTGCTTCATGTATTTTAAAACTCTGTTTTTAGGTATATACACATTTATGATATGTCTTTCTGATGAACTGATTTTTATAATTATGAAATATTTCTCTATCTTTGGTAATACTTTGTGACTTAAAGTTTATGTGTTTTTTAACATTAATATAAGCAACCAGCTTCTTACTGTTTGCATGGTATTATTTTTTCATCTTTTTACTTTTAACATATGTGACATTATATTTAAAATGTCTTTTCTAATTGGCATATACTTTTTTATCCAATCTGATAGTTTCTGCCTTTTTGATTGGTGTGTCCGTTTGCCTTTTATGTAGTTTTTGAGATGATTGTGTTTAGGTCTATCAGTTTGCTGTTTTTCATTTGTCATGTCTATACTTTTGTTCCTTTTTCTTCCCTTCTTTCATTTTTTTGGGTTGATGAAATAATTTAATATTTCATTTTAATCACTCTCTTGTCATTTTAATTTTTTGTTGCTGTGCAGTTTGAAGTATTCATCCTTAATTTATCATAGTCTGTGTAGGGTTACTGTTTTACCACTTTACATGCTATGTATATTGGTGAATAATTTTAAGATCTATTTATACATTTACTCTTCATCTCTTGAAATTAAAATTCTTGTTTGAACTAGAGATAACCAAGCACAATGTTCAGAAGTGAACATGAAAATTCAGAACATTGCTTGCTTCTAAAGTCTGTTTCAAAACCGACAGCCGGAAGGTATCTTATTCCTTTACTCTGTCTTCTTTTGAATATGGAATAAAAAGCAAACAAGCAAACTTAGAAGTAAGTCTTGCTAAGTTCCTGTCTCAGTAAGAAAAAAATGATGGAAATTACATTATAAATACTCATTTTCCTTGTGCAAGGCTTGAAGCTGCAAAAGATGATTACCGTGTTCACTGTGAAGAACTTGAAAAGCAACTAATTGAATTTCAGCATAGGAATGATGAATTGACTAGTCTTGCTGAGGAAACAAGAGCCCTGAAAGATGAAATAGACGTTCTTCGGTATGGCCTGGCTAAATATAATTCTATCACTTCTAAGTTATTACTTAGTCTTTCACTATTGCATATTTTCATCAGGGATTCTTAGAGTTATCTGTATGTTTCGAATATTGATCTGTCTTTATCAGGCCCCTAGTCTGTACTTCTTTTGTGCTTGTTAAGAGTAATTGCAGTTTAAGGATAGTATTTGATTCTTGTTATGACATTTCATATTAGAACCTATAAACTCCAAATGATACCTTTTCTTAAAATTTTGTAAGCTGAGTTTCTTTTAGATGCATTTAGCTTGACCTCTTGTACTCATTAAGTATATCGTGTGAAATTTTTATATAAGGAAATGTATTCTCACAATCCATATTTTGGCATTTTATAAAATATAGGTAAATATAGATGAGAATCTTAGCATTTATTTCAGGATTATCCCAGGGTTCTCTGATTGTCTTTGACAATATAAAATTTATATTTACCTTTTGCCAATGAAATGTTACTCAAGCCAACAGATTGTCTACATGTTTTTTATATTTTTGGTTAAATTTTCTTGATTAGCTATTTTGTCTCACAGTTTTTAATGTCCATCTGAAATAAAAATCTTTATAACCACTAATGTGAACCTATTTTTATAAAACCATTCTTTTTCATACATTTTGCTGATGCATAAAACAGTTTGATAATTTAGTATGCCAAATTTGAAGCATTTTTATTTTGATGGCTTTATAGCGAAAAGGTTGAATCTTAGACAGTTTTAGGCCTGAGTCTGTTTCCAAAATTCTCACAAAGTTTATGATTTCTTTTTTCTCTCTCATTTTTATTTAGCTAATTGATAGTTTATTAACCAATTGATAGTTTACTTGAAAGATTCATTTTACTGCCAGGATAAAATTATGTGCTTTTACCAGTTTTTCCGCAGTAATATTTAACCTTTATTATCATAGAGCTACCTCTGATAAAGCAAGTAAGCTGGAGTCAACAGTAGAGGTTTATCGTCAGAAGCTACAAGATCTGAATGACCTTCGAAAGCAGGTGAAAACTTTACAGGAAACAAACATGATGTATATGCATAATACCGTCAGCTTAGAAGAAGAGTTGAAGAAGGCAAATGCAGCCCGCACACAGTTAGAGACATACAAGAGACAGGTAAGGACATAATCTGAAGTTTTTAACCAGTGAAATCCAAAGAGCTCAACTTTGATCTTCCATTTGATACTTTAAGAATGATGTGTAAGTGAAAACACTGACTGTGGTCAGCTGTGAGCTTGTCATAGGTTTCTTCTATCTGGACGTTTAGTTCAAGGATCGATCGTTCAGCGTGAGTTATCTAGGTCTTTTACATTTTTATTGGCTTCTGAGCTTGTGTTTTTTTGGACATTTCATTGTTATTAGCATTTCTGATATCTAGTGATAAATGGCTCAAGAAAGGAGCTATAACCTAAAATATTCTGTTTTGCTGTTTATCAAACAACCTAGATAAATGTTAGAGTAGAAGGCTGATTTTTTTTTTGGCTAAATTATAATTTGGGTATTTTAAATTTATGTTAATTCTTTTTATCTATATGCTGTTTCTACAAATATTTAGAATTAAAATATAATCCTACTATAAATTTTATTTCCAGTTTCTCATTTTTTGAACTCTGAAAAACTGCCAATATTATATACTCTTTTTTTTTACTTTTGTTTGTGACAAAAGGTTCAAGATCTTCACAGTAAACTTTCCTCTGAATCCAAAAGGGCAGACACGCTGGCATTTGAAATGAAGCGGCTTGAAGAAAAACACGAAGCTTTGCTTAAGGAAAAAGAGGTAATTTTAAATATACTTATGAGTAATCTGTCTGTCTTCTTTTACTTTTTAATCCTGTCTTTGTTGTTCTAAGAATAAAACTGATGTCAGCCAGTTCTTTTTCTTTCTCCAAATTGAACTTGATGGTGTAACAGGGAGTCTCATGAAAATCCTTCATGCAGTTTTGTTAGTTCCCTTCGCAAAGGAACGTGGAGTCCTGGAGCCAAGGTCTCACGTCTCAGTGCATGCTCTCCGACTCTAGTTGTCAACTCCTTGAGAGCAAGGACCATATATGCGGTTTTTTAACATACATACTGTAATTTTAATTTGTATACCGTATTTTTTAGTATGTTCACAGAGTTGTGTGACCGTCACCACAGTCAGATTTTAGAACACTCGTCACCCCCAAAGGAGACCCATGTCCATTAGCAGTTAGTGTGCGTTCTAGTCACCCCCTCCCCCAGCCTTCACACCCGTTGCTCTCCTTGCTTTCTCTATAGGTTTGCCTAGTCTACCCAGAATCTATACTCATCCCTTTGTGGATTTTGTGACTGTCTTTCTTCGTTTAGTATACTACTTTCAGGGTTCATCCATGTTGTAGCATGTATCAGCACTTCCTTTTTATTGCTGAATAACACTCCGTTGTGTGGGTCTACAACATTTTATTCATTTGTTCATCAGTTTGTGGACATTTGGGCTGTTTCCACTTTTTGCATATTAAATAGTGTGTCTGTGAACATTTATGTACAAGTTTTTGTGTGGATATGTACTTCCATTTCTTGAGTGTATACCTAGGAATGGTATCGCTGAGTCATGTGGTAACTATGTAGCCTTTTAAAGAACCACCAACCTGTTTTCTAGTGGATGAACCATTTTTTTAATCCTCACCAGCAATTTATAATGGTTCCAGTTTCTGCATCCTTGCCAACACTTTTTTTTTTAATTAATTTCACCTATTCCTTTATACCTTTTTTCTTTTTTTTAAAGATTGGCCCTGAGCTGACATCTGTTGCCAATCTTCCTCTTTTGTTTTTCCTCTTCTCCCCAAAGCCCCCCAGTACATAGTTGTACATTCTAGTTGTAGGTCCCTCTGGTTGTGTCATGTGGGACGCTGCCTCAGCATGGCCTGATGAGTGGTGCCGTGTCTGTGCCAAGGATCCGAACCAGTGAAACCCTGGGCCACCAAAGCGGAGCACGCGAACTTAACCACTCAGCCATGGGGTGGCCCCTCCAACACTTATTACTTCTTAATTTTAGCTATCGTAGTCGGCATGAAGTGGTATATCACTGTGGTTCTGATTTGTATTTCCCTAATGACTAATGATGTGAGCATCTTTTCATGTGCTTATGCCCATTTGTGTATCTTCCTTGGAGAAATGTCTCCTCAAATCCTTTGCCTGTGTTTTATTTAGGTTATTTGCTTTTTTATTATTGAGTTGTAAATGTTCTTTATATATTCTGGTTACAAGCCCCTTGTCAGATATATAATTTTTAGATATTTTCTCCCATTCTTCGAGATTTCTTCTCACTTTCTTGATGATATTGTTTGCAGCAGAGTAGTTTTTCATTTGATGAAGTCAGAGTTATCTAGTTTTTCTTTTGTTGTTTCTGCTTTTTTGGTGATGTTTCTGTGAAACCATTCAGTAACCTAAGGTTATAAAGTTGTATGATTTCTTTCTTTCAGGGGTTTTATAGTTTTAGCTCTTAGACTTAGTCTGTGATCAATTTTGAATTAATTTTTGTATATGGTGTGAGATAAGAGTCTAACTTCATTCTTTTGTGTGTGGATGTTCAGGTGTCCCAGCACCATTTGTTGACAAGACTGTTCTTTCTCCCATTGAATTGTCTTCATACCCTTCTAAAAATCAATTGACCATGATACTGTAATGATGAATAGATTATACACTTGTCAAAACTCATAAAAGTAAATTACAAACAGTAAACTCTAATGTAAACTATGTCCTTTAGTTAATAATCATGTATCAATATGGGCTCATCAATTTTTACAAGTAACCACACTAATGCAAGGTGTTAATAAGAGGGAAAACTGAAGGTGGGAGGAGCACGAGGGAGTATATGGGAACTCTGCACTTTATGCTCAATTTTTTTGCAAACCTAAAATGGCCAAAAAGACCTATTAATTTTTTTAAAAAGGTAAAAACATTATCATTTGACCTTAAATGTAGGGGTTTATTTCTGGACTTTCAATTCTTTGTCATTGATCCGTATGTCTAGCTTTATGCTAGTACCCCACTGTCATTACTGTAGCTTTGCAGTGAGTTTTGAAATTGGGAAGTCTACGTTCTCCATCTTTGTTCTTTTTTTTAAAGGTTATTTTCGTTATTCTGGGCACTATCATTTCCATATGAATCTCAGGATCACATTGTCAATTACTGCAAAATAGCCAGCTCAAGATATTGATAGGGATTGTCTGAATATATAGATCACTTTGGAAACATTGCCACTTTTAATAATATTAAATTTCTGATCCATGAATGTGGCATGGCATTGCATTTATTTGGGTCTTTAGCTTCTTTCCACTGCGTTTTGTGGTTTTCATTGTACAAGAATTGCACCTTTTAAAAGTTTATTCTTGTTTTATTTTGTTGTTGTTGTTATAAATGAAATTATTTTCTCCATTTTATTTTTGGATTTTTCACTGCTAATGTATAGAATTGCAATTGATTTTTGTACATTGATCTTGTTTCTTGCAATCTTGCTGAATTCACTTAATATTTCTCCTAAGAATCCACTTAGTGGACTCTTCAGGATTTTCTGTATGTGAGATCAGGATATCTGCAAATAGAAGTAGTTTTACTTCTTCCTTTGCAATCTGAGTGCCTTTTCTTTTTCTTGTCAAATTGTCCTAGCTAGAACCTCCAGCACTGTGTTGAATAGAGTGACACAAGAGGACATACTTCTCTCGGTTCTGATATTCGGGAGAAAGCACACATTCTTTCACTATTATGTGTGTTATTAGCTGTGGGTTTTGTTTGTAGATGCGCTCTATCAGGCTGAAGAAGTTTCCTTTTATTCCTAGTTTCTTGCATACTCTTATGAAAAGGTGTTGGATTTTGTCGTAAGCTTTTTCTGGGTCAATGAGGTGACATGGTGTTCGTCTTTTATCATATTAATGTGGTGTATTACATTGATTTTTCGATACTAAAGCACGTTGCATTCTGGAGGTAAATTTCACTTAGTCATTGTGTATAATCCTTTCTATATGTTACTAGCTTCAGTTGTGAATATTTTCTTGAGTATTTTTCCATGTATATTATAAGGATATTGGTTTATAGTTTTCTTTTGATGCCATTGTCTGGTTTTGGTATCAAGATGACACCACATAGAGTGAATTGGGAGATTTTCCTGCTTTTTTAGGTTTTAGCTACTTTAAGCCTTTGTCTAGTATGTCTACCCACTAGGTCACCTCATTAAGTGTTTCTCTTGATTGTTTTTTTTTTTGTTCCCTGTGTAGGGACTACCTGGTTTCTTTGTGTGTTTTGTATTTTTATTGAAAATATGATATTTAAAATAATATAATGTTTCAACTCTGGTAATCAGATTTCCCTCAACCTTAGGGTTTGTCATTGTTTCTGATTTTTTTGAGTGACTTTTTTGGACTAATTCTGTAACGTCTGCATTCTTTGTAACGTATAGTCACTGAATTCTCTGCTAAGTTACCACTGAGGTCAGTTAATGATTAGTCAGATATTTCCACTGATGCCTTAAGCCAGTAACTCTCCCCGTCTTTGCCACAGGACTCAGTGTCTGTTTTCGAAAAGGCAGTGTAGACCTCTGCCTTTGCCTCTCTTCCTGCTTGCACAGGGCCTCGGGTTCACCAGAGCTGAGACGTGCGGCCCTCTCAGCTCCTTTCTGGCGAACACGGAGCCCTGCGCGTGGCTGGCTTCCTGGATCTGCAGGCATATGTCAGAGCTTTTCAAAGCCTGCTACGGATATCTTGTTTCTCAGATCTTCCTTGTAAGTTTTTGGCCAGGTTCCTGTTTGCCCCGACTGGCATCACAGCCTCCAGCAGCTGTAGTGATAACAATCGCTGATGACTGCTTTTGAGAATAGGGATTTTCCTGCACAGCAAGCACCAAGTCAGCTCAAATAATGGAAAACCTATGTATGGGACTTGTCTGGGGTTCTGCAAGACAGGTCGAATAATGACATTTCTCCAAGGACAGGGCTTTTAGGGAGGAGTTCCACACCCAGTTCGCCCCTTCAGGTGGCCGCCATGCTGCTGCTGTTCAAAACTCTGCTGATTTTCAAGATGCTCCAGAGCCGGGGAGAGGATTGGTAGTAGTAAGACAAGTCGAAAGTACAAAAAGCTCACTGTTCTGAGATTTAGCAGATTTTCTTTAACAAATGCTCCCCAGATCATTACAGGCCTTTAGTTAATTTTCACAGTTCTGGAAAAGTTGGTTTTTAGCAATTTTCTAATGTTTGCATTGCATTTATGAAGGTAGGTATTTATAGAGGTCCTCATGCCTACATGTGGTTATAATTTATAGTGTTCAGAGATCCCTAGGGCATCTGTGGACTGGAGCCTAAGGACCCTTGGAAACAATTGCCAGTTTACTGTTGGGTTGATTTGAACCACATAATAGTCTAAATAGTGTTTTGTTTACTAATTTGGAATATAACAATATTTAAAATGTGATTTTATATTCAAAAGCACTTTTCAGGTTCTGGGAAAATGATTTAAATGTGAGCCTTTTGTACAGAGCATAGAATTTGTCGTTGGCTGTAGGCTCTAAAAGAAAATAGCTAATGATGAAGTCCTAGCATGCTAGCCTCAGAAATATTGTTTTTCCACAAATTCATACTTCCAGGATGCTACGTATCACTTCTTTCAGTGGAAAGTCTCCAGCATCTCTTACACACGAGACCATACTCTGCTTGCTTCACAAAATTTACCTCATTTGTTACTCAAAACACTTTTTCAAGGGTTTATGTATTAGTATTCCCACTTGATGACAAGGAGAGTAAAGTCAGAGAGTCAAATAACTTGGCCTAGATAATATCGCTGGGAAGTAGTGAAACTGGAACTCAAGCCATGATGTCTTTGCCTCCAAAGTCCATGCTTTTTGTTAATTACTCTGCAGTTGCTTGTTTGTACTCTGTTGCTTAATTATATTCATTTGGTTCAAAGACAAACTATCTAATGGGGAAATCACAAGCTTTGTGTTGTGTAAAGACTATTACGTATGTGATTTATGCAAAAGAAAATTAACCGTTAGCGGTAAAACTGAAAGATTGTTATTTTTCATTTTCTAAGCAACAATTATCAAATTGTCTTGTTAAGGTAAATTATTATAAGTATAAAGTATGTTACCTATGGGCAAAATTAAATACCTGGCTTATATAAACTCTTCTGTTTTAGAGGCTCATAGAGCAGCGTGATGCTCTGAAAGAGACGAACGAAGAGCTCCGATGCTCACAAGTCCAGCAGGACCACCTAAACCAAGCAGGTGAACTGAGTTGGATTCAGAAAAGCTTTTTTTAATGGTAGAAATACTGAGATGTTCATCTCTTTGTTGTTGCTGTTGTTTAGATGCATCTGCTACAAAAAGTTATGAGAATCTTGCTGCTGAGATTATGCCAGTGGAATATAGGTAAATTTATTTTTATTAATTGATAATCCATACTTAATATTAGAAATGTGATTTCCTCTTTTTTTTGTAAATTTCTGAGCCTTTAAAACTTGCCATTTTGTGAGTCGCAGAGCTCAAAATTACTTTGTCTCGTCTGCTTGAACTTTCTAAGTCAGATTGTTATCACTACTACAGCAGTTTTAAAATTTATCAGACGTAAAATTTTACAAACTAGCTGAAAACATATTCTGTCTTTTATAATAAGACTTTTATTGTGTTGAACTTCTTTTCCTGTCCATAAACTCTATTGAAAACCCTTTTAATGCAAGGTGTTCAAATCCACATGGTGAGAAAAATGGGAGGGAAGCTGTCAATTATAGTAGGAAGATGAAGCAGAAGTTAAATAAAACACAGATGTTAGAGGTTCCTCTTAACCCAGCTTTTATCTTTGTGTTTGACTGCTATGTTTACTTCTAGACATTTGACTAATCTGGTATGTTTAGGGTTTTCTTTTTTTTTGTGTGGCAACAGCTTTATTGATTTATTACGTCAAACTCTACTCTTTATTTAAACAGCTTTATTGGTATATAATTCACTCATTTAAAAATGTACAGTTTGGTGATTTTTAGTATAGTGACAGAGTAGTGAATATCTAATTTCAGAACATTTTCATCCCCCTCAAAAGATACCCTGTACCTAATTAGCAGTCTTTCTCCATTACTGCCTCTCCTCCGACTCCAGCCCCAGGCAACCAGTAATCTACTCTTTGTCTCTGTCAGTTCGCCCGTTGTGGACATTTTGTGTACAGAGAATCATACAGTATGTGACCAGCCTTTTGTGACTGACTTCTTTCACTTTGCATAATGCTGATCTTCTGTTTGTTCAGTGTTTTGTTGTTAAGATAAAGCTCCTTACGTGCTGGACTGGAAACCAACTTGCAGTTTTTAGTTATTAATATCCAGTGAGATTAATATCATTTAAAAATAACCATATGAGCCTATTTTTTTAAGTTATGGTGCTGGCGTTCAGAAGAACAGAAATTGAGATTGAAATTAGTTGGTTTTGGTGAATGGGATTTTGAGGGTAGCAGTTAGGAAAGCATCACTTTTTTACTTAATACCATTCCTATCATTTTCATTTTAAAAAACATGTATAGGGGCCGGCCCGATGGCACCGCGGTTAAGTTCACGTGCTCCGCTTCAGCAGCCTGGGGTTCACGGGCCTGGATCCCGGGTGTGGGCCTCGCACTGCTTGTCAGCCACGCTGTGGTGGCGTCCCACATAAAGTAGAGGAAGGCCGGCAGCGATGTTAGCTCAGGGACAGTCTTCCTCATACACACAAAAAAGTGTATATCAACCTTACTGAAAAATTTTTCCAAAAACAAAAAATCTAGAGATAGTCATGAGACTGTCATCATAAAAGTGTATTTAAAACATTTGGGCAAGCTGTAGTTTCTGAAGTCTGTTGCTTTTCAGTTATATGTTTTCTAAAGATGTGCTATTTATTACCTTCAGTGAATAGTTTCTAAATTATCAAAGTAAAACAATTCATATTATCTCTTAGGGATTTGCGTATTTAACGTTTAGTGATATATAATATAATCTTATACCTGTACCTTTAAAAGTTTATTACTTGTTTTTTGAGACATAGTCTTACAATGTGCATAGTTTTTTCTTAAAAACTTTCAGAAGCTTTGGTAACATTTTAAAATGACAACTATTGAGTGGACAAGAATTTCTTCTTTTAAAAAGTTAAGAATATAAAAACTCTTACATTTAAAAAATTTAAAAACAAATTTTGCTTTTCAACACAGGGAGGTGTTTATTCGACTGCAACATGAGAATAAGATGCTTCGCTTACAGCAGGAAGGCACCGAGAACGAACGCATCGAGGAGCTCCAGGAGCAGCTCGAGCAGAAGCACCGCCGCATGAACGAACTGGAAACCGAGCAGAGGTGGCCCGCTCCTTTCTAGACGGTCGTGGCAGTTTCGTTACCCAACCACAAAGTCTTGGTGCACAGAAAGGGAAAATACCATTGTAGTTAAAATAATTAGGATTTTAAAAGAAGTTTAAATTTGTGTTTAGTCTCTCACTAACCCGTTACTTTTAGCAGACTTTGTTAACCAAGTTGCTTATTCTTGAATTTCATTTAGATATTTTCACAACAGACAGAAAATTTAACACATGAATAAATGACAGTCTGGTTTTCTACTGCAGTCTGGTGCATAGATGGGACATAGATTGTGGAGTCAAATTTTAATCCCACCTCTACTTAAACTTATTAACCATTTGGCTTTGTGCAAGTTGCTTAAATTCACACTTAGTGTCCTCAGCTATAAATTGGAGGTGATACCTATTTGCAGGTTGTCATGAAGATTATAGATAACTTGTTGAAAGCAAACGGTGTGCTTATCTGATACTGGTGAGGTGCTCAAAAATTATAATATAAAAAAATGCAACATTTATATATTGCTCCCTATATGCCAGGTGCTTTTCTAAGCACTATTTTGGTATTAATGTAATAAATCCTCACAATAGCTCTCTGAAGTAGTATCTGTGATTATCGTTTTTTCATGGATAAGGAAGCTGAGGTACAAGGAGGGTAAGTACCTTGCCTAAAGTTACCCAGCTTGTAAGTTCTGGAGCCTACGTTGAACCATCTGTCAACCTGACTCCTCAGTCTGTGCTCTTAACCACGATGCTGACCTGCCTCTTATAAATAACATACTTGCAATAAAGGTGTTTGAATTTTTTCACCGACCTTTATTTGATCTTAGAGACTGCCAGGAATTTCAGAGACACTTGAACCTTGTCTCTCAAACTTGTGTGTATACCATTAAAAGAAGAATAACGTTTTAGCTTTCTGAAGCGACCAGTAAATATTATTGTCCTGTGGAGTTCAGGATCAGTTAGCACTGGAGATGCTAAGCTTCAGCTTTTGAGAGTTGCTGTAGGAAGATGGACGTGTGAGTGGATGATTACTGTACTTTCTGATAACTCAGCAAGGGGGCCAAAGGCAGAACGGGCAGGTGTATTGCGTCATATCTATTAACAGAGAACGTCAGACAGACACCAGCTGTCTCTTGCTGGTAACTTACAGTGGAAGGAACTCTTAAGCAGAGTTTTAAAGAATGAGATTTTGCCAAGTTAAAAATCTGCCCTAGTTGGTAGTGCCAGTCTCTAATTTAAGTAAAAAGTCATGAAGGAATGGTTGGGAAATGGTGACCTTCCTCTTCTCCCACTAAACTGTGAAATCTGAAACAGGAAAAGGAAACCTAGTTCCATTCATTAAAAATATAACTGGAGGGAGGCCGGCCCGGTGGTGCAATGGTTAAGTTCACGCAGTCCGCTTTGGCAGCCCGGGGTTCGTCGGTTCGGATCCCAGGTGCAGACCTATGCACCACTTGTCAAGCCGTGCTGTGGTAGGCGTCCCACATATAAAGTAGAGGCAGATGGGCACGGATGTTAGCTCAGGGCCAGTCTTCCTCAGCAAAAAAAGAGGAGGATTGGTAGCAGATGTTAGCTAAGGGCTAATCTTCCTAAAGAAAAACGAAAATACAACTGGAGGAAAATTGGGCTAGTTTTCTAATTTTTATGCCAGTGAATACAGTACAGAAATGTTATGCTTTTTTCACTGACACATAAGTACCTTAAAGTTTTAAATGTGGCCATATGTGCTTTCAGGATAAAAAAATGTCTTCTTTTTTTAGGATATTTCCTTGACAGTAGCCTACTCCACTATCTATTGTTTGGCCAATAATTGTTTGGCATTTTTTATTGCTATTAAATGTATACTTTATGAGTTAAATTGCATGAATGCACCTTCATAGATCCCTAAGTACTCTGACTTTCAGTACAAACAGTCGCATGTGGTCCGTCTCCCAACAGGCTGAGCAAAGAGCGCATCCGAGAACTGCAGCAGCAGATTGAGGACCTGCAGAAGTCCTTACAGGAGCACGGCGCCAAGCCTGAGGGAGAAAGTGTAAGCAGCTTACAAATTAGAGTAATTCTGCTTGTGCACTCTCTGGAATAGGTCCTGATGCTCAAATTAAGCTTCTATTGAAAGTGCTGCCCTGATCACCCAGGGTCTCCTTAAATACCGTATATATCTGCATAACAGGTGCAGTGATTTTGCCAGCTTGGAGCCTCTCAATTGATCATGTGTACTGGAAGTTGATTTCTACCTGTCCTGCTTCAGCAGCTACACCTAAGTTCATGGCAGCTCCTGATGGAGAGCATGCTTCCATTGAGGCTTCACAGTCCTGCTGGGCTCCCAGCCGGGCTGGCCTTTGAAAAACCCTCACGAGAATAATCAGCTGTCAGAACTGAGGAAAATTTCTAATAGGAAAGGGAGAATAAGACATGATTTCTACCCAAAGAGCACTCGTGAAGTGGAGCATTGCAGCCGCCAAAGAAGAGAAGCCGTATGCAGTCCTGAAGACAACCTGCCACCTTTCTTCCCTCTGCCATACTGACTCACGGCTCTGCCATTTCCAGTGGTTTCTGGTGGCAGATATTGTGAGGGCAGAGATAAGAGGACTTAAGAGCTCAAACAGCCTAAATCTGAATATACCCAGCAGTGTTTCTATAGTTTGATCTCTATATTCAGAGGGGAAAAGAAGTCATAATCAGGGACGAATGTGTTTGACTAAAACAACAACAAAAAGATAGGGCTCGTGGGTGTTAGATAGATGTTGATTAGATAGAAAATTAGGTTATCATACCCGTGTGGATGGGGGAGAAAGCGATGGAGAATAAGGAGAGATGAAAAGGAAAGTTGAAAGGATTGCTTTTCCTTTCTGCCTTTTATATACTTTCTATTTTCTCTTTTTTCCCTGGGGGCTTGGAAAATAGAAATCGTCTCATGCATGGCGGCATCTCATATGTGCATATATACGGTATTGTAACCTCTCTAATACAAATATTTTCAAAAGCCACATTAGGGAATACTTTTAAAATGGCATCTGTTTGGGGGAGTGTACTTTGGATTGCAGTGTTTTAAAGATTTTAAATTTCTTTATCTTTGTAAAAAAATATATTGGTATCTAAGTTATACTTCAGATTATGTATTTTAAACTCTTAGCTATTCAGTAGATGATACAGAACTACTATTGCAGTTTAAATTCTTGTTCTTTTAAAGAGAAAAGTTTATATGTTAAATTTTATTTTTTAACAAAATCCAGTTGGTTCATTTTGATGTTACTATTAAAGTGCTTGCATTAATAATGATAAAGTTTTATTATAAAGATAATTATTTTAGTTCTTTAAGTCTGTTCTTCATTAAGGGCCAAAAATCTTAAAATTTGTATTTTAGATAAATGATTCTTTAGGTATTTAATCTTTGATACTCCTCAATATATCACTTTCATCTTGCATTTGCTATTTTTCTCCAAGTTCAAATTTTATTCTCATTGTATTCGGAAATGTGAAGCAGTTTGCTTTCTGCTATCGTCTTCCTTATTTCCTGTTCTCCTTTCCTTTCCCCTTTGAAGTAAAAAAATACCTAAACTTTTACGTTTTTACAAGTATGCTATTAGAAATACAAATTTTTGAAACATTTATGATTTTAAATAGTATACCTTCAAAAGGAGGTAAAGAGATTTTTGATGTCTGGAAAATTTGTCTTTGTCACGATAGTTATCTTACAGCAACTTTTTAAAATTTTTATAGTCCAGCAAACTAAAGCAGAAGTTGGAAGCTCATATGTAAGTAAAACTGATATTTCATTTCAAATATGAGGGGAAGGATTTTAAAAGCTTCTAGAATCAATGTCCTTTTCTGATTTTGTTTATAAAAGCAAATATTCTGATGCCAATTGAATGTTCACCACTGCCCCCAAAATGGGAAAAGAAAACATGGGGCAGGTTCAGCTGCCTGCCAGTGATCCCAGACTCCACCGTGTTTCAGTCACTATGTCATTTGAAGAGTTTACAAAGTAGATAACTCTCACAACTAGATTATGTGGGAATGTGGGATGTTTAACCTATAAAATATTTTCTTTAACTTTCTTAGGAAGCAAGGGTGGCAATGGGAAAAAATTTAATATTTCTGGCATCGACCATGTGCAGGCAGTTTCTGTCTACATAACCACCGCATAATATTTGGCAGGCCGCCTTCCCACTTCACAGTGAGGAAGCTAAGGATCAGAAAGGGACTTGCCCACAGTCCACAGATGTTAGGTGGCAGAAGCCAGTTTCATTCTTAGGTCTGTTTGGCTGCAAAGCTCCATGCTCTTTCCACTACTTAGGGAAAAACTAACAGAGGTCCACGAAGAATTACAGAAGAAACAAGAGCTCATTGAAGATCTTCAGCCAGATGTAAACCAGAATGGTAGGTATTTGTGAAAGCCTGCATCAGACTGTACCTAAGGGCTCATCCTTCTTAGTTCAAGTCTTCTTGAAGGCTGCAAGAGCTGTGTGTAAATCTTTGGACAGTATTTGGATACATACTTTGCAAATAAAAACCATGATAATTTTTAGTGATTTAAGTAATTAACAAGTGATCTAATCTTAAAGCAAAAACAAAGTAAATCTAATAAAATTAACTGATTGATATATAGGAGTATCAAACATTTTAAGGTATAATACAGTTAATACTGTGGAAATGTAAATAAAATAATTTATAATCAGATTAAAATGAACTTCAAACGTATGGAAAGATTCTTTATTTTCCCTTAGGATAGGTGTGCTCACATTGTAAGGTGTGCTTGCTCAGTGAAATGCTTCATAGACAGGAGAAAAAAGCTAGATAAAGAAGCAGATTCTAGATTTTTTTTAAGAAAAAGTAATAGAAAATGATCAAGGATATATTGGTGGTAGTTCAAAAGTTTTAGATAAGAACTCACTACAAAGAAGAAGTAAAAGGTTTCTCTTTTAAGTTCTCTTATCAGTCTTTAGAAACTAATATGATAAATATAATTTTTGTTTGAGGATGAAGTATTTTAAATAGGTAGTAGTTAGTCACGTTTCATTTCATTTTCAATAATAGTACAAAAGATCAGTGAACTTGAAGCTGCTCTTCAGAAGAAAGACGAAGATATGAAAGCCATGGAGGAAAGATACAAAATGTACCTGGAGAAAGCGAGAAATGTGAGTGGCTGCTTTTTCAGAGCTCCTGTCTGGTCTGGGTTCTAACCAGGCCTGTCCTGCCTGACTGCGCTGCTCTTGCTGTGTCTGTCTCGCGTCACTTAGCTCCCCACTGCCCTGCCTTCTGGTCAGCCTCCTCGTGTGTCCTCGTGCTTGCTCCCTCTCACTCAGCACCAGATGAAACAAGCACGCAGATCGCACTGCCCTCATTAGAGAAAATGATTTCTCCAATGAGTGGAATCTTGAGCTCTTAAAGTGAAAATTTGCCTTTTGTGGAAATTTAGCTCTTCCAACCTGTTTGAATTTGTTTTAGCATTTAGTCTATATTAGACAGTTAAACACTATTCTAATATCCACCAGACTAATTGCTCTTTTTTCTTATTTCATACTTACATATCTGTAACTACTGTTCTCATAAAATCTTTTATTTCCATGAATACGATATATTTTCTTAATTAATGTAAATATTCTATCACAGAGAATGTTAATGTAACCTTTCTATTTACTGAATAAAAGAAGAGAAATTTATGACAAAGCTTTGAAGTGCTGCTAATATGTCTGCCTATTTTTATGTTTAAATTTTACACTTATTAGTTAAAGTGTGACTAGTCCCTGCAGCGACAGAGAAGCCCCGAGATCTCAAGGCTTACTGAGAGAGAAATGTGTTTCTTGGCCTCAGCGGGGGCAGGGCTCTGCTCCATGCAGTCGTTCAGAGTCCGAAGCTGACAGACGTTGCCTTCCTCGACACAGGGTTCCCAGGTTCACTCGACATCATCCAGCTGGTAGAGGAGGGAAGGCAGCCTAGAGTGCGTGGAGACAGGCAATGGGTCAGGCCTGGAAACGGTGTCTACCATGTTCGTTCTCGTTTCAGTGGGCAGAACTTAGGCACATAGCCACACCCAAATTCCAGGGAGGCAGGGCTTGGTAAACACCCAGGCAGTCTCTGCCACAGTTCAGTTTCTCTCAGTTACAAAAGTATGCATGCTTTTAGTAGAAAATATAAAATATAGAAAGGTTCCCAGAGACAACTGCTGTTAATGTTTTGGTGTATTTTCTTAAGAGTGCATTTTTTTCAATGCATATTATCTCCACGGTTGTTGATCATAATAGACACACACATGAATTGTATGATTATATCACATATAATTTGTATTTTTAAACTTAAAATAGTAATTTTCTCATGTTATATGAATGTGATTTAATACTTATTGAGTGCCCCTTATGCCAAGCCCTGGAAATATAGGCAGACAGCTTTCCTTTATTTTGGTTTATTATCTTAACCTTGTTCCTTTGTTAATGGGTCAAATGGAATTATTGGGTCAAAGGGTAAGAACATTTTAATAAGATGTTTGATATGTATTTCCTAATGATATTCTAAGAGGATTAGAACTAATTGGACAAAGCAGTGACAATGAACACCATGTTCTTCCATCATTGAGTATTATCATTTAAAAGACAGTAGCTTTTTTGGTAAAAATGATTTCATTTTTTCCTCCTTACATTATTGGGAGGGTAGGGGGGATGTTTAAGTCCATGGTAGAAAATTCAGAAAATATGGAAGAGTCACAATCTTACTTTTTATCCCTTAGAGGTGACAGATTATAATGTGTTCTTTGTAATTAAATCACAATTGAAAATCTTTAGTGTGTCTGCTTGTATGCTGTGAACTCTGAGGAGAGGTGCCAGGTCTCTCATAACCTGCTGCTTCCCCATCCGCCACAGTGGGCACACAGCAAATTGTTCTGAATGAATCACAGTAATTTTTAGGCATATCAACTTCTAGTCTTCTTTTTTTTCTCTTTTCACTTGATGAAGATTGTCCCTGAGCTCGCATCTTTGCCAGTCTTCCTCTATTCTGTATGTGGCATGCCGCCACAGCATGGCTTGATGAGTTGTGTGTAGGTCTGTGCCCAGGATTCGAACCTGTGAACCACAGGCCACCCAAGCAGAGCGCTCGAACTTAACCACTACGCCACGGGGCCAGCCCCTAGTCTTCTTTTTTTTACCGTTATAAATATGAATGAACTTTTCCTAAATCTTTAAATAATTGTAAACCTTTTTTAGTAGATTTGTAATTAGATCATACAGATGAGCTTATTATTGGAAACTTATTTTTGCTTATAATTTATACTTGATGTTTCTGAGGTGATTTCTAACCATACTGCTGAGTACATACGTTAGTTGAGTCTCTGAACAACATTCTGCTCACGTATCTTTTTGTCTAACTTTTAGTAATTTACATAAATATGGTCGAGCACCCTAGGGTTTGCAGATAAAATCACCAATGTCTATTATATTGGTCTTATATATTCAATCACATTTAACTAAATAACCGTAGTAAAAAAGATTGTTGCTGGGGCCGGCCCAGCGGCATAGTGATTAAGTTTATGTGCTCCGCTTTGGCAGCCCGGGGTTCACCAGTTCAGATCCCAGGCACAGACCTATGCACCGCTTGTCAAGCCACACTGTGGTAGGCATCCCACATATAAAGTAGAGGAAGATGGACATGGATGTTAGCTCAGGGCCAGTCTTCCTCAGCAAAAAGAGGAGGATTGGCAGCTCAGGGCTAATTAATCTTCCTCAAAAAAAAAATTAAAAAAAGATTGTTGCTAAGAATTTTGTGTGTGTGTTTACACTTTTTACAATTAGCAAGTTCCCATATAATTATTGAATTTATCTTAATTTTTAAAAAAATACTCGTCAGATAAATATGGGAAGGGTTATTTCAAGATCGCAGTGCTCAAAGTTTGACAAGGCTCAGTAGCTATCCCTGCATTCTCAGCTGTGGAGAACGTAAGTTTGACTGGGGACAAAGATATTCCCATTTTTGTACTGAATTTTACATCATTTCTCGTTTATAGAATGTTATTTTTGTTATTCAAATTAGACTGCAAAACGAGCTATCATTAGCTCCTGGATCACTTTCTGGAAAATTTTCCATGTTACTTACACAGATTTTATATACTCTGTTCTTATATTTCAATATTTGATAACATAAAATGGACATAAAATATTTGTTCTTTTCTTTAAACAGGTAATAAAAACTTTAGATCCCAAATTAAATCCAGCATCAGCTGAAATCATGCTACTTAGAAAGCAGTTGGCAGAGAAAGAGAGAAGAATTGAGATTCTGGAGGTAAAACTTCCATATTCACACATCTCCTCTTAATTATTCTGTGTAATCCTGTCATACATGCTTTCATATATTTGCCATTAATGATCAGGTTGCACAAGAAGTTAGAACTGTCAGTGTGTTTATTACAAAGCATCTCACCACCGAGAGGACTGGCCCCTGAGCTCATGTGCCTGCTCCACTGTCTCTCTCTCCTTCTACAACAGCCAATCATGTGGATGCCCCTAGTTTCTAGTGGACTCCTGCTGTAATGCTCCTTTTAAAATTATGTGGATGAGAGTTCATTCTGAAAGAAAAATAAAGAAACCAAGCATACCTTTTAAAAAAGGAACTGGATACAGTTAACCAGATTTGTATTCTCTCTTACCTTCTCCCATTTGCTCACCTGAACCTAAGGAAACTTGTCAGTTGGAATTCCTGTTAGAAGGAAGCACTTACAGAATTCCAGTAAGCCTTTGAACTGAAGTGGCAGTCTTGGTTATTAATCACACAAAGTTATGTTAGTAATGGGATGGTGTCATTCATTAGCTGAGTCTTTAAATTTTTAAGTTATTTTTGCATAGTAATTATATTATTTTTACTAGCTGGGTTAAGTATGTCAGTACAATATTGTATATTCTTAGATTTTGTAACTGGACGTGTTCTAGTTTCCTTTACAAAGTGTTTTACAAAACTACTATTTTTAATACAATGGTGAGATTTGATAATGTTTTTAAAGTCAGTGGGCATTACCAATAGGGTGTTACCTATCCTGGCGTAAGAGAGGAAATACCCATTCTTAAGAGAGCGCATTCTTTACTTTAATGGTTAAAGCAGATGTGCTGTATGTTTGATAGGCCACAAGTCAGGCATCTTTAGTTCAAATTGAATTGGTTTTGAACCCAAGTAGTTACCCCATATACCTCAATATGTGAAAATCTTTTGTCAATTTCCCCTTTTAATCAGTAATCTTTTGATGGAAAGCATTGATGATCAAAATATTGTCCCTCGGTGCTTGGATGGTTGCTGCCTACCCTGGGTCCATCATGTCCCTCAGTGCTAGGCTTTTATTTCATTGATTTTCCAGTTATCCATGTTGGGGGGAAATAGTCAGATATAGTTGACAAAGATAGAGGTATATATTAGCAGAGGAAGAGTTTCATAGGTTATGTAACTTGTCAATTTTTAGATTATCACACAACCATTGTACATGTAGTTTTGCATGACTTCCTATGGTTACATTGTTTATAACAATTGTGGAACAGATAATTCAATACTTGGAATGATTAGTTTAAAATGAGTTCTTAGACATAGTCTTTATCAGTAAAGGAAATTTGTCCAGTGTTGTAAGATCAATTGACCATCTCAATGTGCTGGGCAATCATTACTCTAGCCTGCATGCCAGTCTTACAACACTGAGTAAAGAAAACAATAATTAGTTTCAATATTGTGACTAATACAGAAATTCCAAGAAATGATAAGAATTGCAATCTATATCACAAAAGGGAGGCAATACTGGAAGGGAGCCAACTAAACAAATGAAGACGAGGTATAGGGTCGCTTAGGGCATTCATCTGCTTTTTCAGGTGCTTTAGCAGAGATGACACATTGGAAGATTCGTCAGGTACAAAAACCCAATGCTCAGTTTGAATGATTGCACATGTACCACCTTGGGATGCAGTTAAAATGTCTAAAGCCATTCTATTTTGAAGGACAGCCTTTCTTATTAAAGACATTTCAGTATTTGTTAAGGCTATTCCTGTTTGACTGTCATTAAGGATTTGTTGAGTAAATTTAATCAGAGCTTCTATATATGATATAACATCTTCTAGCCCCAAAGAAGGAACAAACATAGCCTCTAGGTGGTTCCATACCAGTGGAACACTAAATGAGCTCATCTAGCCTTAAGGAGAGGAAGCTTGGCAACAGCTGTTAGAATGCACAGATTATTACTAAGATATTTATATCCTTGAGATGGCAGTATTTGAACAAAGTTCAATTGCCATACCTCAAAAGGTCCCTTAGGAAGGGGAAAGTGACCTTGCAACCAATGAACTGTTTTCTCGGCATTATATTTAGGACATATAGTACAACCAGCATATGCTTTATGAGCCACTGTAGGAGAAAGTTTCCAAAAATATCATTTTCCCCATAAAATCACCCTTTCAGGTGCCTAATGGGTGATTGATGTATGTGCTGGAGCAGTGGCAGTTGTGTTCTAACAAACCACAACTGTACTATGGTTTGTTATCCAGCCTGAACCACATCTGCATGGTGGTGTCAGAAATTCCCATTTTTTGTTGTTGTACTTGTTTCTCTTCTTCTTTGGCAATTTCTTGAGCCTGTAGAAGGAAGTCTTTCACTGGGTTAGCAGGGTTAACAGAGAGCAGTGGATATTCTCCAGGCTAGACAGGATATCCAGCCCAGTAATGTCCCTGATTATCTTTTAAGTAAGACCCATCTTTAAACCAAATGAGATAATAAAATGCAGCCATGGTCATTTTCCTCCTGTGGTGCTGGAAGCAGGGTAGCAGGGTTAAGATAATGAATAGTATTTACCTACCCAACATAACCTAAGAAAGTTGATCATCGTTTACTTGACATTGCTTCCGATGCAATTTACCACACCAAATAAACCTAATTAGTTTAGTAGCTCACTCTTTGTGAGAAGAGAGAACAAATTCTTTGAGAAGTCCCAGGGCACATTAGAAATTCTCAAAGTTACTTTCAAGTAAAAAGAAAGACTTTATTTAAGATTTAAATATTTGGAGAAGTTTGTAAAAAAAAAAAAAAATCAAAAGGTTTTGAAACACTTGGTCAAATCAGAAGCAATGCTTAGTTATCTATTTAACCAGGGTGACAACAGAAGATGTTGCAAACACAAAAGTTAAAACAGTTGGAGGAAGAAACCTCTTGGCTCCCTGAATAGAGAGGCTCAGCTTTTTGGACATAGAAAATTATTTTGATAAAACAAAATCCCTGCTTTCAGGCAGACTACTCAAAGGTAAAGGAAAACCTTTTATATTCTCTTTATCAATAGCACACTAAAAGTTGAAGAAAATTATCCTTTGAGAGAAAAAACCCCAAATTTTAATTTTACATTTGCTAACTTTTAATATTAAAACTCATTTACTTAATTAAATTTAGTCTTAGCCAACTGGACCGTTCTCAAAATTCTTTCCTCAGAGTTCCTCTTCCACAAACCTTTAATAACTTTTTTTATACGTTCAGAATTTGTTCTATGCTTTCTTTCCTTCCTAGTATTTTATGACAAATTTATCTATCTTAAGAAAATAAACAAAAATATCTCTATTCCTTAAATCTTCTTTACTGAAAACATACATCCTACTTTCTTTAATTTTTGTATTGGCATCCTGTAGATTGGCAGATCCACAAATACTGCCTAGAAACATGGTTTCTCTTAGAAAATCTCTGCATGGCACAAACATGTTTATTAATAAACCCGAATATTTTCCAGTTTCTCTGTAATAAGAAACCAAAAGTAAATAACTCTATGTTTAATAATTAATATCTAATATTATATCTTATGTGGAAATGATCTGGTGACTCAATAAATTTTGTCATTTAACTTAATTTAGCAAAACTAAGATTTTAAATTAACAAAGTGGTTTTTGAAGTACATACACCGTAACATAAATGTTGTTAAAAAATTCATCCAAAGCTTTTGTCTCTTTCACATGTAGTTTACTTGTTCTCAGTAATTATTTAGATTGCCCACAAGACTTCATGAGACATTAGGCAAAATTAGGTATCATTCCAAGTTAAATATTATTTCTGCTAACAAGCTTTGTAACAGAGATAACATGAGCTTATTTGATTAATAATCGAGGTAGAAAAAAAGCTGCATGTCTGCATCGTATCCAATGCTGATAACTTTGAAGACATGCTTATTTCAATCAAACCAGCAAACTTAAATAAGCTTTTGTTTACCAAAGATTATTTTATATCACATTAACTTGAAAGACGTTTGGGTTAGTTTCTATTACATTTATATAAGCACTTACTTTAAGCCAATTAAGTAGAGCTCTTTCAGAAATTATACCATCTGGAGGTAGAAAATATCTATATTTATAATATAATATAGAAACATTTCTAATAGACACATATAGACTCACACCTAAACACACAGACACACGCAGCAAAGATTTTACAACCTCTGTTTTTAAAACTTTCCTTAAATTTTGAGGCAAGGGTGCTTTCCTAACAGCCTGCATCTCCAAAGGCTTCTTTTCCCTTTTTCCTTTCTTTCTTTCAGTCTTAGGAATGTGGGATGGCCTAGATAATAGCTCCTAGAGAGGTCACAAGTTCTTTTGAGATAAACAGGGGAGGTTAGTTACTTACCAAAGGACTGACACAAGCATCCAATTACATTATCCTTAATTTGATTCTTTCCCTCTGGGTACATAGTTTTATCTTAGTTTAGGGAAGAAAGCCTAAAAAAAATTCTGTCAGGCTTTCAATATTAGCTTCCAGTTTGGCTGAATTTTTGATCATAAGTTGCTAAATCCTTTCAAATATCTTGTCAGGTTTTAGCCAGGACAAACAGTGAGTATACCTGACAGTATTGAACAGCTCCATTAATCTTTAAGACAGCAGTTTCCCAGAACATCAGAGTCTCGTTAACCCTGGGAGGGGCTCATATGGGGCCATCCTTTGAAGGTAGATGATGGGAGTGTCTGTAAACCCATGACTTAATAAGTGCACTTCTTAAATGATCTTACCTAATTGGAATGTTCCCTCTACTGGCCAATGTTCAAGTTTTGGAGGCTCAAAGGAGCCCTGAAGTGGCCACTGTAATTTTAAATTGTCCCAGCTTGTCTTGATCCGAACATCCAACCATTTATCCCCATTTTGTTAAGCACTTGCAAGTATCAGATCCTTACGTATTGTACATGAAACCAGCCAGAGTTCCAGGGGGAGGCTGTCCATTCTGGAATTAGTCGGCTGTTAGAAGCAAGATTTCCCATTTTCTTTTGGTTTCGTTTTACTACAAAGTCTGAACAATTTCTAAGGACAGTGTAGTGGGTCAGAAAAAGGGTTGTGAACACTCTCTTATGTACCAAGGTTTCTCATGCCAACAGTCTAAAACTACTGTGGGAGTCAGAGCACATGGATGCCAGTGCTCGTGTACACAACCCTGGATGAGCTGTGAGTTCCTTGGAGTGAAGGGTCATGCTGGAATTCCCTGTGGGACCTCCACACTACGTGAGGCCCAACCTCAGACACTCCCACTAGGTTCTCAGTTGCCTGACGATGCCCTACGGCTGGGAGGAGCTGGTGTCCCTTCTCTTTGGAGCTGAATGGGTTTTCGGTCTCTCATTTTGCTATTAAGCAGTTTGTTCAGACTTTATGGACACAGTTTTTTCCAACTTAAGGCCAAATTAAAAAGCTCATCCTGTCCCAGTCCCTCCACAGTTCCCCACAGGTTTCTCCTGCCCAGAAAGTGTACCGCTACCCCCTTAAGATGCCTAGTCTTAGACTTGAAAGAGCTCAAGTAAAAGTCACTATGGCTTAAGTAGGGAGGTCTGGGTTTCAGGAGAAACTCACTGAGGGCACCTGAAGAGTGCTGTGAAGCTGGGGGGTCTCATGGGCCTGTGTGGCACTGAGCACCAGTTCAAAGTAGATCCCAGGTGGTCCAGTGGGTTTCTCTGAAATCTTGCCAACTACACCAAGAAATGTCAGTGCAAAATAACCAACAACTGTTCTGTGGATAGGAGAGGTAAGGTGAGTTTCACTTGAACCATAACAAGGATCATATTCCGGGAAGGCGGTTTCCATGAGGAAGACAATGTTCCAGGGCAGCCTGGTTTTCAGCACAGGCTTATACCTTTACAACAAAGAACGTGCATTAAATGTGCTCAGGACACATACTCATCCAAGTTTCAAAGAGGTATTCAGTTGCACATTAGCAGATCAACATGACCCTGATGTTGAGAAAGAGACTAATACTGGCGTAGGAGGGGGAGTATGCATTCTTGTCTGGAGAGTGCATTCTTTAATGGTTAAGGATGTACAATGTGTGCGTGATAGGCCCTAAGTCCGGCTTCTTCAGTTCAAGCTGAATGAGTTTTGAACCTGAATAGTTACCTCGTATACCTCACTATGTGAAGATCTCTTTTCATTAGCCTTGAAATTCTCATAATTGATAGTTGGTTTCTTTTTAAATTAACTAGGAATGTTATATTTCAGAGAAACACATTATATTCATTTACTGTTTTCTTTGTGTTATTTCTGAGCCAGTATATATCGACTGTGGTGGAAATAATTTGCTTAAAGACTTAAAGATTTTAACATCCGGAGTACACACCAGCCTGATGTGTGCTTGCTGTAGCTTCTTGAGCAGGCCGTGTCAAGTGTTGTAAAAAGCACTGGGTGGAGGTGTCTCTGCAGAAATACTGTTCATTCCTCAGGATCCAACTCAAATGTGTCTGCCTCTCCGAAGCTTTCTGCGTATTCCTTAGCCAGAGTTAGTTATCTCTCCATAATGATTCCATGCACTTTGAACTCATGAATTCACCCACAGGAGCACTGATTTTCTTTTTGGCGTGTGTCAGTGTCTTCAAGGGCAGAGGCTGTATCTTATATCTCTGCACCCTGGCATTAAATAGTACGTAACTCGGAGGCCAGGGTTCCCGCTTTCTTGGTAACTTATCTTAAAGTCATCACCTCTCCCGGTCCTCAGTCCCCTCGTCTATAAAATAACGAGACTTGGGCTGAATGACTCTGAAATCTCAGCTGCTCTGATTATTCACTTCCCAGTGAAAGCCAACGAGAATGTACATGGTTGTCGATGCTTGAGGTGCAGCTCCCTAACGAGTACGATGGCAATTGGTGCCACTAAGCATAGGGCTCTGAGGGAAAATTCAGTTCAGTCACAGCAGATGGACCCTTACTGTATGTGGATTCATCAGTACACACACTGCAAAAAGTAAAAAGGAGAAAAGTGATATAAATAGCAGAGGTTATTCTGCCTGCCGTCCCTCTCAGGCAGTCTTCGCCTGAGGTGGATGTGAGCAGAAGAGCGCCTCTTCCCTTCCTCGTTCCTGTGTGCCTTTAGAACACGAGCATCTTGCTGTAGGAGCGTTCATGTGTTTCAAGATTCTAACTTTTTATATGAGCTCAACAAAATTACAGAATTGGCTGTATTAGAGTAATCAAGAAATGGATGTCAGTCTCTAGGATGGCATGGGAATATGGCCACGGGCAATCTAGTATACGGGTCACCAAGAATTAAGAGAGAAAAATTTGTGCTAAGCTGTATAGGAGATTGTAAAGGGTTTGGGGGGTATTTTTTACTACGTCCTTTTTCTCCTTTGTTTTGACTCCTCCGTAAGTGCAGCTCTGTTTTGCCACCTAAACCATTGTTACGTTTTCCTCTAGGCATAGGGGACAGTAGCATAAGAATCACTAGTTTCTTGTTTGTTACCATTCTTGTTTAATATCTGTTCTACCAGCAAAATTCCTGAAGTAAAGATTTACAACTCAGTCTTATTCTTTCCAAAAGGTGGTGTGTGTGCCTTTCTCCATGATTCAGTTCACGTTTTGACTATTTGGTGTGCATCACAATGCAGTCTTCAGATACTCTCAATCATGAGCAGAGTGAAGAGATGATTCCATTTTTAGTAATTTGAGTCTATTTCTAGGATTGTAATAGTCTTTATATCTTTTCCCAGAGTGAATGTAAAGTAGCGAAATTCCGTGATTATGAAGAAAAACTCATTGTTTCTGCCTGGTATAATAAGGTGAGTTGAAATTCAGCCAATTATTGGATGTTTGGAACAGTGTCTATGAAACATTTTGACCACGAACCACATCAGGAAATGTATTTTAAACCACAAATCAGTACGTGTGCATGTTTACTTGTGTGACTGAGCCTGACTTACCCTGAGGGGGGCAGTGCTATCTTCTGTCATATTCTATGTGCTTTAAATGTTGGTCACAATCCTAATTAACTGTATATTTTAGTTTAATATTTTTAGTTGACTTTCAAAAATCACTACAGTAATTTTGTAACTCATCAACCTCTAGTTGATACATGTGAAGCACACACAACAATTTATAAATATTTTTTAAGGATTTTATTTTTCCTTTTTCTCCCAAAGCCCCCCGGTACATAGTTGTGTATTTCTAGTTGTGGGTCCTTCTAGTTGTGGCATGTAGGATGCCGCCTCAGCATGGCCTGATGAGCGATGCCATGTCTGCTCCCAGGATTGGAACTGGGGAAACCCCGGGCCACAGAGCGCACAAACTTAACCACTCGACCACGGGGCCAGCCCCTATAAATATGTTTTAAATTGCTTTATTTGAGCTAAAACATTTAATTTGTGCTTCATAAAGAGTTTCTGTAGAAATGTGAATATTTAGATAATGCAAAATTAAGTGATTCCAGTACTCAACATTTATTTTAACACCCCCTAAAGCCTCTGAGTATGTCCCTTAATATATATTTTTTTTAATCTGGTAATACTCTTCAATAATTGTCTATCTATCCTAACAAGGAGAAAATCATATAAAATAATTTAGGAGTCAGCCCATGGCATAGTGGTTAAGTTGACGTGCTCCACTTCAGCAGCCCGGGTTTGCAGGTTCAGATCCCGGGTGCAGACTACACCACTCATCAGCCATGCTGTGGAGGCACCCTGAATACAAAGTAGAGGAAGATTGGCAACAGATGTCAGCTCAGGGCCAATCTTCCTCTGCAAAAAAAAAAAAAAGGTAAATAATTTGAAATGTATTTTATTTTGTCAGCCTTAGTGGGATGTGTTCAAGCGTAGCATTTCATGATCCATATGGTTCTTTTGGGTTGTTCTAATCAGCTAGAATAGATAACAGTGCACCCATTATCTCCCTTAGCTGTTTCTTATTTAGTGTGAGAGAAGATCGGTTTATAGACTCCGCACAGATGCTCTTCGCGGCAGACTTAGTTGTCCCTCCTCAAACCTGCCTTGTCCTCCATGCCTCCATACTTTTTGTCTGTGCTCATTTCCTCTCTTCACATTTTGGTAAAATCTGGCTTCATTTAGCAAGGCCTTGAAGGGAATTATGTGTGAGGTGTTCTCAGAACCTTCCTTCATGGGTTAGTCATCCTAGGTAAGATTGGGGACTGTGTATTATTTTCTTTCTTCCTCTGTGGCCCCTTGATACATAAATCATTAAAACTATTAGAGCCAAATAATGCATTATTTATTCATTTTTCAACCTGTGTTTTTTGAGCATCAAGTATATTCTGTGTATTGTACTAGGTACTGGTGATGCTAAGTTCAGTAAAATTGTGTTATGTGATCTAGTGAGAGAGAATGACTTCCCTTACTAAGAAACCCAATAGCCACAGCTACAGTAATTTGTTATGTATCGATATATAGATAGACCAGAGGAAATCTGGACTGCGCTGGGCGTTCTCAGACCGTGGCGTGCGTCGGAAGACTTGTTCAGACGCAAACTGCCGGGCTCACCTGCAGAGCTCCTGATGCGCTAGGGCTGGGTGGAGTCCAGGTGGAATATGCGTTCCTAACAAATTCTCACTGGTTCTAAGTCAATCCAGGGACCACACTTGGAGCGCCATTGATCTAAGCTGTTCTGTGGTGCTGTGTCTGCTCATAGTGGGTGGAATGATGGCCGAAACAGAAAAACATGCTTCGGAAGCTTTTTTAAATTGTTGTATTTAAGTTTAAATCTGGAACATTTTAAGCTACTGTTCATAATAATCTCAAATTTAGTGATTTGAAATAGAGAAACTGGGTTTTATGTCTTTATTTTCAATCTTTCTTACCAGCATTACCGTGTACAGATAAATTAGCTTCTGACCTCTTATTTTTTCTTACAAAATATGAGGAGAACACCAACCTTATAGGATTGTTTTGAGGGTTAAACAACTTTCTAGATGCGAACAGCACTTTGCACACTCTCAACAGTTATGTCATGTGCTCATTTGTTTCTGTGCAGAGTCTAGCCTTCCAGAAGCTGGGGATGGAATCTAGACTTGTGAGCGGCAGGGGTGCTGGCCAAGACGCTGGCGCCTGCACCCCTGCGCGGTCTTTCCTGGCACAGCAGCGGCACGTCACCCACACCAGGAGAAACCTCTCTGTCAAAGTTCCTGCTGCGACAGCCGATTAAACTGCACGAGCAAACAAAACAGAAGTGCCCTTAACGTATTTTGTACCTTTCAACTCTCAGATTGTAAAAGAAGTTTATGATGCTGGATATCAGCTGTTTTAAAATCAAGATACATGAAATTAATTTTGCCAGCTGACTTTGAAAACAAAATATAGAGTTAACTCGCTCCCTGAGGGAGCACAGTGGAATAACTGGGGGATGTAATTGAGCACCCACCTCAAGCAAACATCTGTCCTTTGGGAGTATTATAACTTCAGATTGACCCTGTATATTTTAGGTTAATGTTTTGAGTTGTACTGGTAACTTGGTTAATTTGCAATGTGTAATCAGTCATATGTAATTTAAACATATATCTATATTTGTTTTATTATTTTGGTCCATATGAAAATAGCCTTGAGGTAGGCACATGGAGAACTATACTTGATATATACAAGGTTTTACCTCTCTCTCTGATGCTGTCATTAAATGGTATATTTTATCATGTAATGGAAGATAGAACACTTGAAAGACTAGACTGCTGAAATGACTTTGTCATAGTAAAAGTGACTGACTGGAAATTTTGCAGATTCAGAAGAGGTCATAGTTCTCATATGTACCTGCTGTAAACAGGGGCTTGTCTACAGCACAATTGAATTGTTGAGCTTATAGAAATGAACTGACTTTAATAGGAGATGACTGATGAAGAGCAAACTAAAAAGTATGCTCGAAGCATCCACATACTTTTAATATAATTAATGAAGATTATAATTTTAGTGCTTTTAAGCATAAAATTATCTGGGCTTCTGCTATAAAAAGATGCCTAATAGTTTTACCTCTTCACCAAAAAGAGCACGTGATGAAACACCTGGAAACAGCTTGATTTTGTTTACTAACTAAGGAATCTATCTTGGGCTGAGTTTATGGTATTGAGTTCATTTCTGCTCAAATCTCTTATTTTCAAAGGTGTTACTTTCTAATTCTTTTTTGTCATTTTTAAGAATCACACTTGGAAATTTTAGCTTAGTTGCGTTAATCTGTGCTGCCCAATATTGTAGCCACAAGCCACATGTGGCAATTTAAATGAATTAAAATTAAAAATTCAGTTCCTTGATTGCACCAGCCACATTTCAAATCTTCACTAGCCACATGTGGCTACTGGCTGCAGTATTGGACAGAGCAGATATGAAATATTTCCATCATTGCAGAAAGTTCTATTGGACAGCACCATACTAAATCTTTTTATAATAACTTGGAAATCCTCTGATGTTAGGCCACAAAAATAAAAAGAAGAAAAATGCTAGGACTATTTCAGATATGAAAAGGAATTGAATTGTCACGTAACCAGCATCTTGCATTCCTTACAGTTGAACACCTTACGTTGTGACGTTCATAGTCAGTCTTCCCAGTGCTGTTCAGCAGCTTCATGCCTCTCAGCGTATGTATAGACAACTTTCTGCATACAGCAAACTTTCTGTGAAGGGACAGATGATCAACATTTTAGGCTTTGCAGGCCATATGACCTGTCGCCAGTACTGGACCGCCGTAAGTGTGGAGGCAGCGGCTGTGCACAGTGTGTAGAGAAAACGGTTGAGGCTGTTTCAGTAGAACGTTATTTACTAAAACTGGTGGGAGGCCACGTTGGGCCTGCAGGCTCCAGACCTCTGGCCTGGATTTTATTCTCAGCCTTTCTTGGCAGATATGAGTATTGTTCCATTTACAGCATTATTCACTTAGATACTTGGTTTTTAGATTCTTTGTCCGTAAATTTTTTCTAATCACTGAAAATACAAGAATTTCATACAGTTTTGGGATCTCTGAGCTTAGGGAGCACCTGTCAGGATATTTTGCTTTATCAGGGTTCCTTCTGTTGACTACCTCTTAGAGTTTGATGTTTTTATCCGTGCAGTCAGATTGTTGGTTTGCATTTTTGTATCTGCTTGTAGTCGCTGCTTGCCGGCAACTTTTAGTGAAATAAAATAAGCCTTTGAAAATATTTTAGCATGCTAATTAAGGTTGTCTAAATATTATGGCTTTTTGGTATATTTTGGTCAATGTGCGTCATCTGCTCCTTCGGTGTTTACTACTTGCCTATATTGAGATTTTACCAGCTCTTCCAGCTCCCTTTTAATGGAATTTGTTGTAAAACGTCAATTTCAATAAATTAGTATTTTCACAGTTGAATTGCTCATAACTTTTGATTATTATACTTGGAATTTCTAGATAATTGATACAATTTCTGAATAAGGATATAAGGCTAGATTCTTTTTTCTTAATAGAGAAAAAACAAATTTTGTGGTTTATCACTTTTCTAGTTGGTAGGTAGAATTTTGAGTGCTTGATACATGAGTATTTATGCAAGACTAATGTAATTTAAAGTTTTTTATTATTGTGACTAATGAAACAAATTCAGGGACTGAGCAGAAGTGAGATTCTTTTCCACATCTGGTTGAGGTAGGGAGATTGACGCCCTGTGGGTGGTAAAGCGTTATAAGTATTTGTCATGAACCATGATTTTTACATGTCCATGTTGTAAGTGAGGCTAGAGTGCATTTACCAGGGAAGAGAAATTCAGCATTTTTACCTATTTTACCAGGAATGGAATGTCCCAGTGATGGTAAAGCAAAACCACAGACAAATTTGGAAAGGGTCTTTAATTTTGAGATTTGCTCTAAGATTAATATTCCTTTCTCCTTTTAAAATAAAAAGTGTATATGCTTATGACAATTGATGTTCATCCTGAGATTAACTTAATGTATTGAGAAATATTTGAAGTTCACTCTATTTTTTCAATGAGCAAGTCTGTTGAACTAATGATTTAGTATGGATTAAGAATTAATGTCTAGAAACATTAAACTGAGTATCCCTCGGTAGGATAATCATCATCTTTGATAACTGGCGTGCTAATTTGCAGTTAGGTAACGCTTCTACACCTAGACCGTGTCTGTGTTGCAGCACGTCTGGGCCTGTGGCCACAGTACTGTCTGTGTGAGGTTCTCTGGATTTAATGAGAAACATCCATACGTAGAAATGTGTGTATCTGGTTGTATGCATACATTGAGAAAATTAGCTTGGAAATCTGTAAAACACAACCATAGAAGAAAATAGTGTGTAGGTATAAACTTGATGTAGCTTAAATGTAATGTTTAGTTTATAAAAGGTTATTCCTATTTTCTATGACAAAGACTTTGACACTTGAAAAATACAAGCAATACTTGATTTATTTTTGTAAGTATTTAGGATATTATTTTAAATAAATTATTGTCCAATAACAATGTAATAGTTGTGAAATGTTTTAAGTAAATAAACTTTCTGATTCTGTGTCTTATGGTTCTGATGGATTTTTAGTGGGTACAAGTGCTCATTTATTTTCTGCTTTAAATAAAGGACCTAAAATATTTAGATTGGCAAAGAATAATTGCATTAATTTAATTTTTCTAATTTTATGTTTCTTTTGAATTTTTTTGGTGTACAAGATGTATAAGTGATTTTTGTTGTGCCTTTTACATCTCCAGTTTCACCAGTGGAATTTAGACATTTTGTATTATCTTGGAAGCCAGAACATTTCTGGGTTTTCTTTGGCAGAGGCTGCTACTTATCCCTCGGTAGCCATTCTCCTCTTTTCCTTTATTAACAAAACCCCATATTTTATCTTGTTACATTTACCATCCAAGGGGGGAAAAGTAACTACTTCCCAGACTCCCTTGTAACTAGGTGGGGCCACTTAGCTAAGTTCTGGCCAAAGAGATGTGAAGAGTAGTGATATCTGTCTGTCAACAGAACAGGCATGCTTTCCTCAGCTCTCTTCCCTCCCCAGCTGGAATGCCATGTGACTGAAGGCACCCCTCGGGGACAGTGGAACAACGAGGGAGAAGGAACTTGGATCCCTGAAACCATCATTTAGCCATATCAGCTCTGCACTTCCAGCCCAGATTTCTCTCCTTTAAGCCATTTTTTAAAGCTAATTTATTTTGGGATTTCTTTCTTCCAGTATCCTGTTTCCCAATCTATGCACATTTGTCAAAATGAATTCTGAAGTGAACTTTTAGAAAAGCACAGGTATTCCATGTTCTTGGAACGTCTTTGAAAAGTTTAATTCTGTTGCTGTTAATGGTTGCTCAATAAATATTTAATTACATGAATGAAGATAATGTGCCAGATATGCAAAGATGGAGACCGAAGGGAAGTCCCATCTCACTTTAGGTAGATCCTCATGATTCCAAAAGATCATGATTCTATAAAGTTAACTCTGGCCCAACATCACCACGTAATTTTGTGACTAGTTCACTAAGAGCAACCCAAAGCTCCAGACCTGCACATTGGATATTTAAACAGAAATGTTAATTAAATTGTATTCCCTCATTTCAGCCACGCATAGCTAGTGGCTATGCTATTGGACATTGCAGATAAAGAGCATTTCTATCATCACTAGAAAATTCTGTTGGACAGCTCTGTTTTAGACGTCTAGGTCGAATGCACACGTTCTCCATCTCTCTGGAGTTCCAGGTGATATGGAGTCACAGCAATGCAGTGAAGTGAAACTTTCAGACATCACCCTGCACACAGTGACATGCTCAAGGATAGAGCTGCAGTTGGGTTCTTCTGCTGGCTGTGGTTTTGATGGTAAAACATTCTGTTCCCTTGCCCACTTGGGCTGCAGCAACTTGCTATCATTAAGTGGTAAAAGCTGCCATTTAGGCTTCTTGCTGCAACTCAAACATTCTCCTCTTCCATAAGTCCTTCCAAGATTTCAAACAAGGTGAGAGAGCCATTTTTCTAAAACTTTCAGTATCTTTGGCTTAGTGACCTTAATGTGACCCACTTTATTTTTTTAATGTGTCTGTCCCACTGGACTAAGTTTCTGGAGGTCAGGAGCCATGTCCGGTTCATCTGTTTCCCCGGCAGCACTTGGCACAGTATCTTGTGCACAGTGAACAAATGTGTAATGGCGAAACTAGACTTGCTGGTGACGCACAGAATATTTTCTTTAGAAATCCAGTCTCAAGATACTCTGAAGAGATCAGGGGAGTGCATCGGAAGGAGCATCTGAATAGGCAAGAAATTAAGAGAAAAGGATTTGTATTTCCACCTTACAACTCACCAGCACAATCCCTGAGCCTCTCCCCTAGAGTTATCATGTCATATTTTTATAACAGCTTTACTGAAATATCACTCACATGCCATATAAACTCTTTTAAAGTGTACAAGTTAGAAGTCTTTAGCATGTTCCCAGTTGGGTGACCATCACCATTGTCTAATATTTTGAGTGTGTGTGAAGAAGATTGGCCCTGAGCTAACATCTGTTTCCAATCTTCCTCTGTTTTATGTGGGACACCGCCACAGCATAGCTTGACAAGCGGTGCTAGGTCTGTGCCCAGGATCCGAACCTGCGAACCCCAGGCTGCCAAAGTGGAGTGCGCAAACTTAACCACTACACCACCAGGCCGGCCCCAACCATTCTCTAATTTTAAAACACTCTGTCACCCCAAGTAGAAACCCTTTACCCATTAAGAATCACTCTACACTCTCCCCTCCTCCTAGCCCTTGTTACCACCAATCTACTTCCTCTGCCAATTTTGGACATTTCATATGCACAGAATCATACAAAATGTGGACTTTTGTGACCAGATTTTCCAGTTTAGCATAATGTCAAGGCTCATCCACGTAGTAGCATGTATCAGTACTTCATTCCTTTTCATTGCCTAATATCATTCCGTTGTGTGGAATACCGCATTTTCTTTAGTCATTCGTCAGTTGATGGACGTGTGGGTCCTTAACACATTCTGGCTCTTATGAATAATGCTGCTATGAATGTCAGGTCCAAGTTTTTGTGTGGACATGTGTTTTCAGTTCTCTTGGGTATGTACTGCTATTGTCTGAATGTTTGTGTCCCTCCAAAATTTCTGTGTTGAAATCCTAACCGGCAAGGTGATGGTAGTAGGAGGCGGGGCATTTGGGAGGTGATTAGGTCGAGAAGGCTTATGAACGGGATTAGTGCCCTTACAGAAGAGGCCTGGAAAAGCTCCCTTATTCTTCCAGCCTGTGAGGACACAGTGAGGTGGCACCATCCTTGAGTCAGAAGGTGGGCTCTCACAGGACACCAGATCTGCTGGCCCCTCAATCCCGGACTTTCAGCCTCCAGCACTGAGAAATAAATGTCTGTTTTTATAAGCTACCCAGTTTTTGGTATTTTTGTTATAAAAGCCCAAACTAAAACATATACCTAACAATGAAATTGCTGGGTCATATAATAAATCCATATTTAATATTTTGAGGAACTGCCAGACTGTTTTCTAAAGTGTGTGCAGTGTTTCTGAATTCCACCTGCAATGTATGAGGGTTGCAGTTTTTCCACGTCCTCACCAACCCTTGTTATTGTCTGCCTTTATTTCTTTAGCTCTCCTAGTGGATGTGAAGCGGTCTCTCATTGTGGTTCTGATTTACATTTCCCTAATGATCAATGAAGTTGACCACCTTTTCATGCTTATTGGTCATTTGTATAGCATCTTTGAAGCAATGTCTATCTAGATCCTTAGCTAATTTTTAATGGGTCTATTTGTGTTCTTGAGCTCTAAGAGCTCCTGATTTATTCTGGATCCAATCTCTCATTAGACTCACAAATAATTTTGTACCATCCTGTGCATCGTCTCTTCACTCTCTTGGACGTGTTTGTAGAACGAAAGTTTTTAATTTTGATGAATTCCAATTTATTAATTTTTTTCTTTTTTGTTTGTAGTTTTGGTGTCATATTTCAGAAACCCAAAGTCTGGAAGATTTACTTCTGTGCTTTCTTTTAAGGCTTTTATAATTTTAGCTTTTAAATTTAGTCTGTGATCCATTCTGAGTTAATTTTTGTATATTTGTGAGGTAGGGGTCCAACTTCATTCTGTTGCATGTGGATATCTAGTTGTCCCAGTACAACATGTTGAAAAGATTATTCTTTGTCCATTGAATTATCTGGGTACCCTTGTCGAAAATCACCTGACCATTCTTGTATGCTTTTATTTCTGAACATTCAGTTCTATTCCATTGATCTTTATCTTTACACTTATGCCAGTACCACACAATCTTGATCACTGCATCTTTGTAGTAAGATTTGAAATCAAGAAGCATGAGTCCCCCAAATTTAATTTTCTTTTTCAAGGTTGTTTTGGCATTTCCACACAAATTTTAGGATCAGCTTGTCAATTTCTGAATAAAGCCAGCTGGGATTTTGATAGAGATTGCTTGAATCTGAAGATCAATTGGGACAACACTGCCATCTTAACAATAATCAGCATTCTGATCAATGAACATGGGATGTCTTTCCATTTACTTAGGTCTTTAATTTCAACAATGTTTTGTAGTTTTCAGTGTACAAGACTTGTACTTCTGGTAAATTTTACGTAACTATTCTCTTTGTGCTATTGTAAATGAGATTGTCTACTTTCATTTTTGAATTGTTCATTTTTAGTGTATAGAAGTACACTTTATTTTTTGTGTATTGATCTTACTTTGTGCAATACAATCATTTTGAGTATCCCATTATAATTACTTTTATGTCTGAAAGGTCGTTAGTGATGTCCCCTCTCTTATTCCTGATTTTAGTAATTTGAATCTCCTCTCTCTCTGTCTCTCTTTTTTTTTGACAGCTTAGCTAAAGTTTTATCAATTTTGTTAATCTTTTCAAAGAATCAGGATTTGGTTTTGTTAATTATCTGTATTGTTTTTCTACTATCTATTTCATTTATTTCCACTCTATGTTATTTCCTTCTTCATTTGTGTAATTTGCTCTTCTTTTTTGTGTTTCTTAAGGCAAAAGTTAGGTTATTGATTCAAGATCTTCTTATTTAATGTAATCATTTACAGTTGTAAATTTCTTTCTAAGGCCTGTTTTAGCTGCATCCCATAAGTTTTGCAAGACTGTGTTTTTGTTTTCATTTATCTCAATGTATTTTCTAACTTCACTTGTGATATCTTCTTTGATCCATTGGTTATTTAGGCATGTCTTATTTAATTTTAAGTTACTGTCTAGGGTCCTTTCATTTCAGCCTAAAGGATATCTTTAGTATTTTTTGTAGGAGATATGCTAACAAAAAATTCTCTGTTTCTGTTTATCATGGAATGTCTTATTCCTCCTTCATTTTTGTAGGGTAGTTTTGCTGGGTATAGAGTTGTGTGGTTGATAGGTCTTTTTCTTGTAGCATGTTGAATATGTAATCTCATTGCCTTTTGGCATCTGTGATTTTAGATGAGTACTCAGCTGATAATCATTGAGATGACACACTTTCTCTTATTGCTTTGAAGATTCTTGACTTGTCTTTGGCTTTTGACAGTTTGCCTATGATT